GACAGCTCGGAGCCTGGAGCCTGCTTCAGATTTTGTGTTTCCCTCTATCTCTGCCCCTAACCCACTCGCATTCTGTCTCTGTCTCTCTCAAAAATAAATAAACATTTAAAAAAATTTAAAAAAAAAGAATTTTCATCAAAGGGAGCAATGTGATCAGATCCACAGTTTACCCGGGAGCCAACGCAACCCAGCACATGCGTTGGAGTGGGAGACAGGGAGTCTGAAAAACTCTTTTGGGGAAAGAGGCCTAAGTTGCAGGGCAGGATGAACAGATATTGGGGAGCCAGAATGGACAGAATTTGGTAACTGACTGGGTCACGGGGGGACCAGGGACACAGAGAATGAAAGGTTTAGGATGGCTTCCACAGACTTGGCTTAGGTCACACCCAGGAAATGGAAAAAAAAAAAAAAACAAAAAAAACAAACAGGTTCAGAGGGAAGGATGGCTGGACTTAAACGTGCAGTATCTGAGGTACCTATGGATCCTGGGGCAGAGAGCTCTGAGCTGAAAATAAAACTTGAGTTACAAACAGAAAACGTAGTGGTCACAGAGATAGCAGGCAGAAGGACAGAAGGCCAAAAGCTGCAGAGAAGGAATGGTTAGTGAGGTTAAAAAGGTAATGGTCAGCACTGTCAAACACCATGGAGATGACGTAAGATGAGCATTGAAAATAATTCTGGATTTAGCCATGAGGTCAACAGTGATGTCTGAAGAGGAGTTCCAGAGGAGTGGTAGAAGGAATGGGAGGGGTGGAGGAAGAGGCAGTGATTGGAGCCCTGTATATCAAGAGCCTGGCTGTGAGTCAGTGAGTAGACAGGTGAGGTCAAGGAGTAACATGGAAAAGACACAGGACACTAATGGGGGCCATGAAAATGGGAGCAGCCCAAAGAAAGTAGTAAAAAACAAACAAACAAAAAACACAGGTAGCGCACGTGCAGGGGTGTGGGCAAGAGAAGACCTCAGACAGGAGATTCAGGTGAGAACAAGGGAAGGTGGTAGAGCGGCAGAGGGCAGGCAGGGAGGGGAGCAGCCCAGACTCTGATCAGGTTCTGATTCAGTAGGACAGGCTATGATCCCATGGAAAATGTCATTCACTGCTTTCACTGTAAGAGTCTCTCTGGTACACAGATTTTGCCCAGGGGATAGAGAGGGATGCTGGACAGTGGGAAGGTAAATTCTGACATACATCCATGTGTCTGTGGGGTAACTTACCACCTCTTTGATGAATTTTCACTAGAGAACCAGTGCAAGCTAGAAAACAATTGAGGGAAGTGGTCTAGAGGGAGGTTGGTAATGTTAACTTGCAGGTGATGGAGAGGGAGCTTCAGGAATAGTTTGTAGGGGGTTGAAGGATTCAGGGGCTGAGCTAGGAAAATTTCAGTTTATCTTATATAACATAGTCAGGCAATGTGGAAAACAATCAAAATGTATGGGGACAGGACAGGTAGGCTTGGGAATCATGGCCAGAGACTTTAAAGCTAGGAAGGATATCTGGGATCAGCCAGGTGAGAAAACGGAGACCCAGGGAAGTCAGGTGCCTTGTCCATAATGCACTTGGGGAAGCTGCCATGTCCAAATGGTAGGTGGCACTTGAGAGCTTGTGAACTCACGTAGAGACCATTATAGAGATCCAGCTCTGCCTCAGTGACTCACAGGAGTTCAAGAACAAGAGAGAGAGAAGTTAAAGGGGAAAAGAGAGGAAGAGAAAAAGAATGTCCTGTGGGACACATACACACATTGAAGGGATGGGCGCCATGGCCCCCATCAGATGGGCTGGAGAGGGTACCTTCTGTTTCAACTAGAAAGCACCACGTGAAGAGCGGCAAATTCTTTCCGAGTGTTCCCCCTGTGTTTGAGGCCATCAAGCCAGAGCGACATCAAGCCTCCATGGGTTGGCATGATGAACTCTCAGGAGTGATCCGAAAAGGGACCGCAGTCTCTGGCCCATTGTTAAACTTCAATAGGCTATCCTCCCAAATTTGGAACAGATGGAAGAAAATGTACACCCCTTAATCATTTCTCTGGATAGTAATCAGGATTTGACCCAGGGTGGGCGTTTGGAAGGATTCAGCCTCCGTCCTGCCCGGTGCTGGGATCAGCTCACACGGCTCCTGTGTCCACAGGGCACAGAGAATACATTGTCCCTAAGGGGGATTATTCTGTACAAGAAGCTCAGACAAAGGGAGAGGTTGTTCCCAGCTGCCTGGGGGAGGTGAGAATGGAGTGGGAAAAGGGCCCAGCCTTGCACTAGGGCATTCCTGCAGAGTTCAGCTTCGTGCCTGACAGCGGCACAGGAGGTATGTAATACAGCCCTTCCAGTTCAGTCCTAAAGCCAGAATCTCTTACAGAGCTGGAAGGAGCTGTTTCACAAGAAGGTACAAGGTCAGGTAAAGTTGGCTAGGTAGAGCAGCAAAAGACATCGTAAGAGAAAGAGAATAGGGTGACTGGAGCAATGAGTAAACAGGAGGATCCACAATGACAGAATGCCAGCCACAGGGCAAACCTGGAGAGGAAGCAGTCCTAGACAATGGTTGTCATGTCAGCGTGGATTAAGTAAGCTTCTGCCTTAAGCAGGGTGAACTCTGTGCTGCAGTAAGATCTCATGGTTTCACAGTTGCTTCTTTCTCCATCTTAGGCATAAACCTGGGGTACAATGACCTAATCTCGTTCTCCAGGGGCCCCAAGAGTAGGAGAAAACAGTCCCCAGGCAAAACAGAGCAGCCAGAAACAGGAACACCATCAAAGTGGTGCAAGAGAGCCATCTTTTACGAATCCTACATCTGAACAAGTAAGCAGGTCCTGTCCTCTTCTTCAAAGGGAATTCCATATATATCCCCTCCTGAGGGAATGAGTGTGTGAGCGGAGGGAGATACCATCCACTGAGGCGCTTACTGGGCTGTCCGAATCCTGAAGCTGGCGAGGCTACGTAGGTGTGTGTACTCCAGAGGATCTGGGGGTGGGAGGGAGTTGCAAATGAGAACATGTGCTTCCAGAGTACAGAATATAGAGATGTGAGTGCCTTCGGAGTAAAGAATGTGTGCTTCAGGTCACCAGATGTAGGTGAGGTCCTGCATGTGTTCCCGTTGGGGCAGGAGGATATTTCCACTCTGGGAGGACAAGGAACCCATTTCAAATGTTGAAAATGAAGGTGGGATTACCTGGGACAACAAAGACACTTTGGGTTGGTATCTCTCAACAGGAGGGAATCTTCTGGTGGAATTAAGGACAGCAGTCACCAAAAGATGATCCAGGGCTTGTGGAGAAGTACAACTTGAACTCCACTCAACATGATAGTTAGCTCTGAGACTTCCAGCAGGAAGGGAAAAGGTAAGATCAGGAACACCCGAGTGGGCTGACAGAGCAATAAGGCAGTACTGCTGAAATGGAGGAAAGGTCCGGCATTGCCTTAGAGCTGGTAACAGGACTCCCCGCGCTATTGTGTGCTACGATTAGTGCGCTTTATGGGTACCATTTCTTGTCTTGATGGAACAGGAATGGATGTGACATCAGGGACCACTTTTCCAGTACTTTGCTGCCACAGCCTGGCAGAACTCTGCCCGGCACCAAACAAATGCCAGAGTACTGGTGTGCGACAGAAGAGAACAGAAAAAAGGCAGCTGGAAGGTATGAACAGGCTCTCCTCAAACCTCTCGGGACTTTTAGATCAAAGATAATCAGAGCTAAGAAAACGTTTGAGAGAGAACAAATTAGAATTGCCTTGCATCAACTTTGAAAGTCTCAGACATATAGTCTCTGACCTCGCTATAGCTCTCTTAAAAATCGCTATTGGCTAACACTGACACAATGGCCATCAATTTAAATAACTTTATTCAGGGGCACCTGGGTTGCTTAGTTGGTTAAGTGGCCGACTTCAGCTCAGGTCATGATCTCAGTTCGTGGGTTCGAGCCCTGCATTGGGCTCTGTGCTGACAGCTCAGAGCCTGGAACCTGCTTTGGATTCTGTGTCTCCCTCTCTCTCTGCCCCTCCCCTGCTCACATTCTGTCTCTCAAATATGAAGAACGTTAAAAAAGAAAATTTTAATAATTTTATTCAGAGAAACCCTTTGGTCTTCTGCTGACTCAACACCTGCCCCTGCCTGCAAAGGAGCCCCCTTAGGCTACAGACCTGACTCACTCTGCTCTTCAGCGTTATAAAAGCAGGCGAAGGTACTGGTGGCTGTTCCCACCCACCAGCAGTCTGGCTCAGGTTTGATCACAGTTTCAGTGGACTGGAGGAAAGCCATCCTGGCTGGAGTCCAGGAATTAGGTACTTTTATGAGGATAACTAACCCCTGATGAACCATGGTGTGAAGTGTAATTCCCCTCCCCCTCCAAAGTAAGAAAATCTTTCATGTGTATGGAGTGGGGTAAAGGACAGGGGACTTTGTAACTAGCTCCCAGGGAACAGCTGAACTGGCTTCTTAGAGGAGAGGAAGAGAGCAGGCCCAAGCTTCACCAGAGCTGCAGCTGGACCGTCAGACCCAGTTCAGAAGACTTGTTGCCTGCAGGTTGGAGAGACGGCCGGGATGGAGGCTGAGCAGGGAAGCCTACAGAGCCAGTGTGCCTCTAAGGACACATAAAGGTTGTGACAGTTTCCGGGAGCACAAAATCAGCACAGGCTTTCAAACAGAACAGAGCAGTCCATGACCTTGTGTCTAGCACCTCACCACTGACACGAAGCACTATCACATCACCCTAAGTTCTGGATCGAGGATTGAGGAGGGCAGTGGGGAGATGTGGCTGTAGAAGCTATTGGGGCGCCTCGGTGGCTCAGTCAGTTACGCATCTGACTCTCGGTTTTGGCTCAGGTCATGATCTCACAGTTTGTGGGTTTGAGCCCCGCGTTGGGCTCCATGCTAGCAGTGCGGAGCCTGCTTGGGATTCTCTCTCTCTCTGCCCCTCCCCTGCTCGCTCTTTTGTCTTTCTCTCTCTCAACATAAAAAAAAAATTAAAAAAACCTATCATTTATTGAATACCCATTATTTCACACACTGTACTAAGTGTTTTACATTCATTTTCTCATTTTAATCCTCACAACAACCCTATGAGGTAGGTATCACCATTTATAAACAAGAAAACGGGTTCAGAAAAATTAGGTCACTTGCCCAAGGTCACACAGTCAGTCAGTGGTGAAGCTGGGATTTGTCTGGTGCTGAAAGCTCACGTTCTTTTTATTGTACACATCTAGTTCAGCTTTGGGCAAAAGGCGATTTCACTGCCCACCTCTGCAAAGAGCACCTGGGAGTGGGGATTGCCAGCCACACTCACCGCTGGTAGGGATGCATTGAAGCTGACTTGATGTTGGTTTTTATTCCACTTGGCATTTTTCCTAAAAGGAACACAAAGAAAGATACCTGAAGCACAGTAAGATTTTCATGATAAATCAGACAGGTGGTCTCTCAAGTTCCCTTCTGCCACCACTCTCATCTCAGAACCTCTGCAGCCCCGGGTAGCAACGATCAGAGGTGTGGTTCTTGACCAGCCCTCTCCCTGAAGGTGTCTGGGAGGGAGGGGCTCATAGGGAAGGGGTCAGAACACACCCCAGCAGTCTCCTGCTCAGCTACTCCCAGACAAAACAGCTAGACCCCATTTAATGTCACAGGTGGAAGAGTATGTTCTCTCTAATTGTAATTGTTCCTTTTCTTAGACAGCTTTGAAAGAAAATGCCTCTTCTAGCTACTCACATCTGAATTCCCCCACACCGTTCTCGCAACTATTAACTGGTAGCAGAAAGACAAGACACAGAGAAGAGTACGTGTTGCCTATTTGTCAATCCTCAGTGCACCTACCAGATGGTCTCCACTGAAGTCTGACCATTGCTTTCTTTAAGAAACGACCCTGATGGCACACATGATACCCAGAGTAAATGGGACAGAAAGGTATTTGAGACAGAACTCTATAATGGGGATGGGAGGTGCAGTCTCTGCTGCTCCAAGTTCTTCTTTTCTCTGGTGCCTGCTACAGAGTCGCAAATGAGATTTTTACTCCTGAAAAGCGTTTTCTGGGTCACAGTTCAAAAAGAAAAGGAGAAAATCTCCAGCTCGGAGATGGCGGGGGCCCATTCCATCCAGCTTATCCCTACTTCCCTGCTCAAGGTCATCCCCTGCCCACCTTACCTGTTTGACCTGCTTGGGCCATCTGCACCCCACTGAGCATTGGCTGCTGCTGGCTTGGAGCTCCTGCCATCTGCACTTGCTGTAATCCTGAGGCTCCTGCAAGGATTGTGCCGGCTCCCGGCTGGCCTGGCTGGCCAGGACCACTGCTGCCTGAAGGTCTCCAGTTAGACAGCCCCTTCCCAAAGGCCACAGCTGCTACTAAGGCATTGGTGTCTGCAGGGTTAAAGGTCTGCTTGTTCGGCCGAAGACCTGAAGAAAAAGGTTAAGCGAGGAGCCTGAGGTTCGCCTCTGACCCTGGACTGAACGTAGCAGCAGGAAGACCAATATGGGCACCAGGGCCTGAGCAGCGTCCACACTCAATGGCAGCCCCGAGGAAGAGCCAAAAGACCCCCACAACTATCTCGGAGCTCTCCCTTCTCATTTACCCACACCCTCCACCTGCTCTAGGGCAAGCCCTAACTACAAAAAGCTAACAGAACATAGCATACCCTTTCCTAAGCAGTTCATTTTTACGTCCTCACCTCGCCACTACCCAAACCACCATTCCTATCCCAGTGATCTATCCTCCTTTTCCTTCTCCATTTTGCCACCAGTCCCTCCATACCTCCACTCTCTGATTCCCGCTCCTCTTTGCTGATTTTCTCCAGGAGGTTTGAGCACATTTTATTCAAGCTCTGGATCTGCTTCTGTAACAAACATACATTTGTGCAGAGATCAGGCCATTGACCAGAAATGATGACGGTGAAGTTTCTTCCTTGTGCTCCTCCAGGGGCAATTTATGGGTAAACCATGCATCCCTACCAGGCGCACACGGTAAATCCTAGCTTCTCACGATGGGGTTCGGGGCGCTAGGGGGCAGCAGGGCAGGGACTCAGTCCAACCTGAGCCACATCAGCACCAATGCGGGCAGCATCTGTTGTTAGTTGCTTCTCTTGCTCTTCAACCTCAGGATCAGGTTTGGTTCTCAGATGGTCAGGGACCACCTCATGGCTGAAAACAGGCACTCGTCCTTCAGTCTGCCGCTGTAACACACAGATTTTACTGATCCTCCTATGCAATTCACGAAGAGTTGATCTGGCCCGATATATAGTTCCTTCCAGAGGCAAATAGTACATTTTCAGGGAAGACTCCACCTGACACTTCCAATACCTAGCTTCCTAGGACACTAGTCTGCTTACTCCATGCTTCATTTCTGTCTCCTCACACAGGTTTCTACCAGACCCAGGGGCAAGTTTCCCTTTGCTACATTTTAATAAAAGATTGAATTAGACAAAATCACAATAGAACATACCTCTTGCTCAAGATAGGTCTTGGAGAAGAAAGATCTTTGCCTTGGGGACATAAGCCTCAGGGTTATTTGGTACTATTGGGGAGTGGCTCCTCAACTCTAGAGGGACAAAAAGCAAGGCCTCCAAAATGCAGCCTTTGCTTTCTAGTGCCACAAACTACTCCTCATTCAGAACTTCTAAAGTAACCCAGCAACAATTATGCTCTAAGTTCTCATCTAAGAATTTAATTTCCCACACTGTACCCTTCTCCTCCTCTTACCATGAGATCCTCATCTCGGTCTGGGGACAACACCAGAGGGATGATAACCTGGTTACGGAACAGTGGTGTCTTTTCGTGCTTCAAGACCTTGTTCAAAGTATTCAACTGTCCAGAGAGCAAGGCAAAGCTGTCCAGAACAGAGGGCCTGGTGGTGATAAGGAAGCGTCAGAATGTCTCAGTCAAGTAGCCTTGAAGGGGTCCTTCAGACTAGGAACACCCAGGCTCACCCCAAAAAGACTCATTGCACTACAGCTGGACTGCGCAGGTACCAGACTGGCCCCGGGGATTGTGGGGTTAGGAAAGAGGGACATACTTTCAGTTTCTAGCAGAGATGGAGAAATAAGGCAGTTTGTTACTTGAATGGGGTGAGATCCAGTGGCAAAATAAGAACCATGGCTATACTTATCACTAAAAACTCAGAAACTGGGTAAAATTCTCCTTTCCGGCCTGAAAATAGGATCCACACTTCCATAGTAGGTTGGACCTGAAAAGACTCAGCAGCAACTGTGGTAAGAGACCCAGGATGAACACTGCATTCTTACTAGAGTGGGTGGATTACTGAGGGAGTACCTCCTCCCAGAGATGTCAAAGGGTGAGACTCAAAAGCTAGAAAGACCTTGGGTTGGGAAACTAGGCATTTCTCTACTTCCTTGCCACAGAGGCCCTAAGCCAAATTTCACTTGTTAAATGTTGGGAAACCCAGCTCTTACCAAACCAAAAGATGTTTGCAAAGTGATAAACTGTGCTATCACTGGAGATACCCGGTCCACCAGGAGGCCTAGCCCCCCACCCATGGAGCCCTCCTTGGCTTACCCTGGCAACCCTTACCAGGTCAGCCGGTCATACTCGTTCTCCAACTTGTAAATGAAACTCCCCAGTGAGTTCTTCAGATCAGCCACTTGACTCAGCAGTGCATCTAATGATGCCTCAAGCTGCTTCTCCTCCCTCTGCACCAACAGGAACAGGTGGGTTACCCAGATAGGTGTATGACACATACAGAGGAAGGCTGAAGAGCCAGGATGACAGTGTGCAACACCAGTCGAGAAACACAGGATCTCACTGGCACAGGAGAGCCAGGTTTTCTATCTTTGGTATTTGGGTTACAGACAGCATCAACCCTCAGACCTTTCAATCCATTCGCCTGACCTCAATTCCTCCTTTCTCTCATCGTCTCCTAATTCACGTCTGGCTTCTCTCCGTGTTAGATACACTCTATACTCTCTCACTGAGACATTTTCACCAGACCTAATGCCTGGGCTTTATAATCTTTTGTGAACCCCTGCAGCACGTGTACTCCAACTTCTCCTGTACTAGAACCTGCCTTGTGAGCGTGGCAGTCTTGCCAAAGACACAATCCCTGGGAAACCTATGTACACGTGAAGGTTTCCCTGAATACCAGGCTTGTACCACCACCGCCACCCCCCCCCCACCTCCCACTCTTCATTTGTCCTCAGCATTTGATGTTTTCAAGCTGCTTCTTGCTGAATTAATCGGCACCCATTTTTTTCTCAATGCCAATATTTCTGTATCTCTTTCACAAGCTCAGTCAACTGAAAAACATTTACCGACAGCGGACCAGGTGCAAGAAAGTAAGTGGCAAGTGAAAAACAAAACAAAATGCATATGCTCCTGAGCACCAGAAAAACAATTTTAAATGCTGGGGTATCCGCAAAGCGTTTTCCTCCCATCTGGGGTCTCCAGTTTTACTTCATTTCTCCATCCTTAATAACTAACCGGCTCAGGCTGGGAAGAAAGATGCAAAATTGTCTTGCAAACTCGCCAACGTGCAAGACAGGGGCCTGGATCCTGGGTTCCACCCACAGCCTCAGATTATTAGCTTAGCTTTTGGCCACCGCCCCCCGCCCAACAATTCCTTCACCTCTCGGGCTACTCTCCAATTCCAGATCCCCTGTTACGTCTGCACCCAACAGAGTCCATCCAACGACTCAGGCCGGGGCCTAAGCCAACACGCCTCCTTCTTGAGCCATCTTCCTTGGATCGCATTTCAACTTTGCCAGTTTACAGCCTGACCCTTTCGCGCACCCCAGCAAGTCAGCGGGGCCTCTTTCCACACGACTCGGCAGTCCGGGCCCCACCCCCACCTCTCCAGTCGGTCGCGCCCCCCATCCCGCGGTCCCTTACTTATCAGCTGCGGGCTCTAACCCCTCCTCTCAGCCCCAATTCCTCACCCTCCCCTCGGCCAGCCCACTATCGACCCCGCTACCCGAAACCAGCTAGCTGTCAACAGTCCCAACCCCGCTCTCACCTGCATTGCGGCGTCAGTGTAGGCGGCAACGACTTCCCCTTCCGGTTTCCTAGTCCGAGAGCCTCGCTGAGAGGTCTTCGTCCCCCAATCAGGAAACTCAGAACTCGGTCCTCCCACTCACTTCCGGTTCCTGCGGGACGCTTGTAGCCGGGTCAGGGGTCACGAGTGGAGCATCTTCTCTGGCCCGGGCCGGCGCGGGAGGGCTGTGTGATGGCCTCGGAGCGCCCGGAGCCGGAGGTGAGGGGCGGGCGGGTGCAACGCTGGGCACTGGGCACCGAGCTCCGAGGAGGAGGATCCGGCGGCCTGGCACGGCGGTGGCCTCCTCCCCGTCTGGGGGAGGCCCTGCCCCGTAGGCCCGACCATTGAACCTCCTTCCCTCGGCCCGCAGTTTTGTCGGGGGGCTGGAGCAGAAACCCGTCGCTTTATTTTGGTTACTGAAATTTCAGACACGTCGCTGACTCTGGGGCTTTCGTATTCTTTGATCTTAATAATGCTATTAACAAAATCTGTAGTTTGATTTTCTGCTGCAGTTTCCGTGGGCAGCACGGCAGTAGACATCGATGGTTTATGCATTTCTCCAAACATCGGAATGCCGTAGACAGCATGAATTAATTTAGTTCTGGCGCTCGTGCATTTGGGGAGCAGCTTTGGTTTCGCGAAAAAACATTTGACTCGGAGTGAAACCTCGTCCAGCATTGGCACTGCCATTTAGCTATCTGTGCAACTTTGAGCAAGTCTTGATTTCCAGGATCCTGTTTCTTTCTTCATAAAATACCTGTCTTATGGTGTGTTGTGAGGACTTGACGTGTTAAACCAGAAAATGCACAGGAGGCATTGATTGGGTGCCAAGGACCACGCGAGGAACTCATACATACATTACGTTATTAAAACTTAGGCGAAGAATGTGGCAGTATCCGCTCTCATTTACAGATAAAGCAATTGAAAAGTGAGGGAGGTTAAGTACCTTACCCAAGTGCTCCTCAGCTGGGGAGTAGCAGAGTTGAAGTTAGAAGATCTGAGCATAAAATCTCTCAGCTTTGGAAAAAACGGAACACTAGAACAGGTGCCCAGTGATGTAAGAGAATATATGAGTAGGTGGGAAGGGTCGAGGATGTGTAGAATGACATAAATAGGAGTCATTTATTGAATGAGTACTGCATGCCAGGCACCATTCTAGATGCTTTGCCAATATCAATTAATCCTCTTGTCCTAGACACTTTTATCATCTCCCATCTTTCAGTTGTGGAAATTGAAACACAGAGATCCTTGCAGCATAGTTACACAGCTAGTAAGTAGGGGAGCCAAGACTCCCAAAATAGGTGGCCTGGCCCCAGATCTTGTGTTGTTAACCATAGTGATTATAGTATAAATACTAAAATAGCCACAGGATGGTAAGTCTCCAGTTTGTTGGGATTTGGTGTTATGAAACCCAAGATTAAGTAGGAAACTCTACCCTATTTTAAAGAATCAGACATGTTCACAAAGAAGCCATGCATCTGAAATGTCAATACTGAGAAAGACTATGAAAGAATTTGGAGTACTCCTCCGTAAGAATTAAGATGAGAGGAAATGGGGGCACCTGGGTGGCTCCGTAGGTAACGGTTAAGCATTCAACTTAGCTCAGGTCATGATCTTTCAGTTCACGAGTTCAAGCCCCGCCTCCGGCTCTGTGCTGACGGCTCAGAGCCTGGAGCCTGCTTCAGATTCTGTGCCTCCCTCTCTCTCTGCCCCTCCCCTGCTCTCTCTGTCTCTCTGGTCTCTCTCTCTCTCTCTCTCTCAAAAATAAATAAACATTTACAAAACAACAGCAGCAAAGATGAGAGGAAATGGGATGTTGTAGCAAAATACGACATACCTTTCAGGCAGGTGGTGTAAAACAGCACTGTCCAATAGAAATCTAATACAAGCCATGTATGCAAATTTTCTAATAGACACATTTAAAATGGTAAAAAGAAACAGAGGAAATCAATTTTAATAATGTATTTTATTTATATATATTTCCAAGATACTATTTCAACAGGTAATAAGTATTAAAAACTATGAGCTACTTATCATTCTTTTTTGTACCAAATCTTTAAAAATCCAGTGTGTGTTTTGCACTTCTAGCACATCTCATTTTGGACTTTTGGACTCACAACATTTCAGGTTCTCAGTAGCCCCATTTGGTAGTGGCTACCATATTGATCAGTGCAGATCTATAGGAGCTTGGAGTCAAGACACATACTTGTGGGAGTCTCATTCAGCCAAAAGTGAAGCATCTGTTAAGTTCTTGATTTGCATTTCTGAAAATTTTATCTCAGAAAGTAAAGGGAATGAAGTTTGCCCCTGGGCAGAAAAGTCACTGACTTTGAGAGGTTGTTACAATCCGAAGAGAGAAAATTGGGCATAGTCAGATTTAAGAAATCATTCATTCATCAAATATTTAAAATATTTTTATGAGTGCTGTGGATTCAGAATCGTGCTAAGTATCAGGGTGGATACCGAGCAGTGTGAGGCAGACATGTCCTCTATTTTAATAGAGTAAACAAACATTGAATTGTAATAAGGGCTGCAAAGGAAAACTACAGAATGAATGAGTGTTTAAAAGAGGTTTTTAACCGACTTTGTTAAGAAGTGTGTGGGGCGGGGGTGGTTTGGGATGCCTTCTCAGAGAAATGACACTTCAGCCTGAAGACCAAGTAGAAGTTGGCCACGAGAAGAGGCAGAGTGCATCACAGGCAGAGGCAATAGTGAAAATCCTGACGTGAGAAGGAGCGTAGAGCCCTCAGAGAACAGAAGAAGCAGCTGCTAGTGTGGGTGCAATGTGACAATGAGAACAGCTAACACTTCCAGAGTGCTTACTAAGTATCACCTAATCCTTGTAAAATCTCCACAAAATAGGCACTATTATTTTCCTGATGGCACAGATGAGGAAACTAAGGCACAGTAACTTCACCAAGGCCTTGTATTAATAAGCAGCAACAGAACCAACGTTTGATCCCTCTAGGTCCTCTAAATTGGCAAGAGATGGGTAAGAGATGAGAAGAAGATTCAGGCTGAGTCCATGCTAGAGGTTCACGACTTACGTGGCATAAGTCCAGTGGTAAGGAGCCTTCAGACAGTTCAAGGGAGAAAATGTCTACATTACTTCATGGGATTCTTTATTTTTAATTTTTTTTTTTTTTATTAGAGAGCATGAGCGCACGTGAGTGGGGAAGAGAGGCAGAGAGAGGCAGAGAGAATCCCACGACCCTGGAATCATGACCCGAGCCAGTGTCAAGAGTCGGATGCAACCGACTGAGCCATCCAGGCGCTCCTCATGGGATTCTGTTAGAAAACAGCATCATGGTTGGAAAAGGCTTCAAAAATTATTTATACCTTAACCACAAAGGGACAGGTGCAAAGAACAAACAAAAAACAAATTGAGATGGGCGATGTTTCCGTCGTCCTGATATATATGGTATGCAGTACAGTGCCTAATAATGTATTATTCATCTTGTAAATGGTATGTAGGCCTCAATAAATGTTCCAGAGAATGATAGGCTTCCTCTACCATTGTTCTCATTCTCATGTTTAATTGCAGCAACATCCTTATGAAGTAGGTATTCTTACCCACATGTTATCAATGAAGAAGCTGAGTCCTGGAAAAAATTAAGTAACTTGTTCAAGCTCACATAGATAGCAAGTAGTAGAACCAGATTTCAGTCCAGGTCTCTGACTCTGAAACCCTGCTTTCTCTTTGCCAGATTAGTCCCAAGAGTAATGCATTTCAGACTCAGGGAGATTACATATTAGGGCATTGAAGCTCCATGTGAGTGTGGATGCCGAGAGAATACAGCTAATTCAGGGTTTGTCAAAGCGGAAGAATCACTTGGGGAGCTTGTTAAATTTAGATTCCTGAGTCCTGTCAACTCGAATTCAGTTGGTTTGGCTGGGGCCCAGGAATCTGTATCTTAATAAGCACCTCGCCACTCTCATGCACCTGGTCCTTGGATCACACTTTGAAAAATACTATTTTAGCTGCTTAAGTTCTTATGTTTTCTGGTTCTGATCAATTACATCTTGAATGTGAGGCAAACTTCAAGATGATGGTTTGAACATGTTGCTGTTAACTTCGAAGGGTCATGTTTGAGGGAGAAATGTGAGAAAGATTAAGTTGGGCCAATGTTCCTGGTTTCAAGAGAGTGGATTTTGTAAGAACTGGTTGATGAACTAACTACATAAGCTTCACTTGGCCTTGGACAGTCAGTCCATCATTCAAAATAACTTTCATTTGTTTGTTTTAGTTTGAGAGAGCATGTGTGAGCACAAGCAGAGGAGGGGCAGAGAGAGAGAGAGTGAGAGTGAGTTCCAAGCAGGCTCCACACTCAGCAGGAGCCCGACACAGGGGCTTGATCCCACAGTCCTGGGATCAGGACCTGAGTCAAAACCAAGCGTCAGTCGCTCAACCAACTGAGCCACCCAGCACCCCTGTCATTCAAAATAACTTCCAAGACAAGGTGGAGAAATGGAAGCTGTACTGTAGTGAAATCAAGCCGTCTACTAATAATCTAAAGAACGTTTACTAATAGCACAGCACCCATCTGTGTCTTCCATCCGCTTTATCTCCCCTTTTCCTCTTCACTTAGCAAACCCCACTCAACCTTCAGTGTCACTTTCTCCTAAGATCCTAGCTTGGGTCAGGTTACTTTGTTATATGCTGCCATAGAACCACTTTCTTTTCCTTTGGCACACTTACTCAGTTTGTAATCATATAGTTAGTAGAATGATTATTTGATTAATTTTTTCTCCATTACAGGGTAAATGTTACGAGAGCAGAGAATGCCAGTTTTTGCTTTTCGTGGTATCCTTAGGACCTAGCCCGGTGCTAGCATGTAGCTGGCCCTCCATAAATTTGTTGACCGATGAATGAATGCACACTCACCTTGTCTTTGTCCTCTTTGGACAGGAATGAGGACTTGATGGCATCCTGATGAAATTAGCAGGGAAATTAAGCTGGAAAGAGATTTGCTAAAAGACAAAACAGCACTCTAGGTTTCACAATAGAATAATAGACTGAATTTATCCAATATAACAGGACTAATTGAATAATTGGATGTGTCCCAAAAAGCCAGCTGCATGAGGACAGAACAGAGGATGTGTCTTAACAGCAACACAAGTGAAAAAGTTATGGAGGTTCCCTGAGCCAACAGTATGGTAAAGTCAGTCGGACTTAGGAGACTCTGAATCTGTGACCTCACCTGGGTATTGTGTTCCATCCTAGCCCCCACATTTTGAGTTGAAAAACAGTCCAGCCAGAGTTCATAGGCATATGATCTGAGATATAGTGGGGAAACTTGAAACAATGCTCTTTAAGATTTACCTGAAGAACTTAGGAGATGTTTATTACAGAGAAACAGAGACTCAGGGCTGCCATCAGATGTTTGATAGATTATCCTTTGGCAGAGGGTCAGACTTTCCTTTGGGTTTTATCCAGGGGTAAAACCAGAAATGGGTTAGATGTTTTCAAGAGAACAGATCTCAAGAATGGGTAAAGATTATATCAAGAAGACAGATTCTGGCTTTCTGTGAGGAAATATCCAGCTATGCCAGGTAAATGGGGACGAGCAAAAAAGCTGAAGTGAATGGCTGTGCGGGAGTCTTTCCAGACACAAAGCAGCAACTGATCAATGAATTGCTTGTTTTCACTTGTTACACTAACGCACGCATTTATACTTTCACACGCCATTGGGATACATGGTAGTGTTTTATGGAGGAGGAAAATAAAGTTCAAGACCAGAGGCTCAGCTATCAAATCACACTTTCTTTCAAAACAAATCGATTAGAACTCACACCCGCAGCCCTTCCCTAGATTCCAAGAACTGTAAAAAAGAGATAATATTTGAAAAGAAAATAACTGAAAACCTGGTAAAAGCAACTTTGGTGGAAGCAGAAGAAAAACCCAGACATAAAATAGGCTCGTTTTTCTATAAAGTGGATGAGGAAGGATGGGATCTCTTGGACAACACAGCAGACGTTGCTAAAAGTGAAAAGTTGGGAATCAGTGGTAAGAAATTCAGAACACAGCTCAAAACAGAAGAAACATAGCTTGTGAGAGCCATTTCCCTCACACATTCGGTCAACAAATATTTGAACACCTAGTACATCTTGGCATTGTGCTGGTTGCTAGGGATACAGCAAAGGACAACATATAGACAAAAGCTCCTACCTCCTTAGAGCTTCTAGACTTGCAGGGGAAACCAAATTTACAAAGTACACAAATTCTTCATTATAAACTGGTGGGTGCCATGAAAATTCTAAACTGCTTTGTGACTGTGTGACAGAAATGAAACCTGTCATGTCTAACAGTGCAGGGGATCATAGATTCATTCGTGAAACCCAGAATCACCAACATTTTAGACCTAGAAGGTGGAGCAACCAAGTGTTCCCAATTGTTCTTATGGTGCTGACCCACGGATGTGTGTTCTCCTCTGTTTAACCCAGCTCAGTATGGGCCCAGATTCCTTCCTATGGTGTTTTCTTGCATAGCTGAAACAGGCTGGCATTTGGGGGAAAACAAGTCTTTACTAACTACCAAAGAAGAACCAGAGGAATATAGTACTGAGATTAGTGTTAAGATTATCTCACCTTGAGAAGAGTTGTAGAGAAAAAGAGTTGTACTGATTATTAGTTTTAAACATCAACTTTGCTTTGCTTAGAACATATGGCAAATTCACTTATTCAGCAAATTGTATGGAGCATCTGATGTGCCAGGCACTGCTGTAGGCTCTGAAGATAGAATGATAAACAAAGGACTGCTGAATGCAGGTATCCTTCCTATTCTGATAGTACTCCCAGCCCCAGCCCATCCTTTCCTAGATAAGAGCCTTGGCAGGGATCAGCACCATCAGTTAGACAAGAGTGGGCATCAATCTCACACCCACACCAGCTCAGCCAGTCCTGAGGGAGAGCTTGACTGGTTTAGGAGAGCATCCCATCCTGAGACCAAGGTCAAGCAGAGGGCAAGTGACTGCTGCACATTCCTTCTTGGCCGGTAGACCCTTTGCTGTTTCTAGCATCTTGGTGACAAGGGTGTACAATCTTAAGGGACCTTTTGAGGGGAATGGTGGTTAGAAATGATGGTAAATACCTGTATCTGATTTTTCTCACTAACTTGGAAATCATTCTGCAATTTACCGGTGTCCAGGGCTATCTTAGTCGTCCTTGATACAGTTTTGTTCCTTCCTCCCCACTGCTTCCAATTAATCACTGATTGTTGTCTTATTCTAAAGGGTTCTTAAAATGGCAGCTAAGCTCACTTGTCTTGAAGGTTGCGTTAGCTGAGTTGCGTTAGCTGAGTTAGCGCGTGTGTGTGTGTGTGTGTGTGTGTGTGTGTGTGTGTGTGTGTGTGTAAAACCAGGCTTTGTCAATGAAAGGCAGTACTGGCTTTACATTCTGGCACAAGTGCTGTCTCATCGGAGACCAGTCTCAAACAGTTCACAAAATGGCTACTATGAGTAGCTCTGGTCTAGGCCACTGCCATCTCCCCTGGTTGTCAGGGGATCTTTCTGAATCACGTGGTAGCCAGAGGGAATTTTTTTTTTTTTTTAATGCAGATAAAATATAGCTCTGTGAAAAAAAAGTTCAGTAGCTTGCTCCAACTCTTGGGAAAAATCCTTGGCCAGCACCTACCTTAGCCTGGCGTACAGAAGCAGCATAATAGAGAATAGTGTGATTTTAGGTAGTATAGAGACGTAACACAAAATAATATTGAATCCTATATGGATATTTCAGTTGTCTTTTTGTTTTTCTGATTATGGCGGAGCATCCTTTATGCTTGTAGAGACCCATCGTGTTCCTTCTCGGGACCACTTCAAATCTTTTCTGTTCTTAAACCCCCAGTTTTATCCGCTTGTCACTCTTCAGTAGTTGGGCTTTGCAGCTCATGAGGCCTGGGTCTGACTTCTGATCCTGCACCTACTAATTGTGTTAAATCATTTCGCTTTTTGGACCTCCGTTTGTTTCTGTTAAGTGTTTTATGTGAAGCCTGATTGAGTGTACGAGTGTGAAGAGCCTTCTATTATGCCCGGTAATAACCTGGTGATAGTTCACTTTTATAATATTCTTTCTGAGCGCCAGGCATTGTGCTGAGCACTTCCTATACCTGATTTCGCTTAGCCCCCTTAACAACACCGTTAGATCGGTATTAGGATTATATCCATTTTACAAATGAGGGCACTGAGGCTTAAGGAGGTTAATGAAGTACCTTTTCCCCGATCTCACAGGCTAAAAAGAGGCCAAATTGGGATTCACACCAGGCCGTCTGAAACTGAAGTTCTTGCACTTAGCGTCTCCAGGGGACTGTTGAATATATTACAGGTGCTCAAGAAATGGGAGTTTCCTGCCTGCTTCCACCTATGACATTTCCCAGTACCTGTTTCTGTGTCTTTTTTTTTTTTTTTTTGAGAGAGAGAGAGAGAGAGAGAGAGAGAGAGAGAGCAAGAGCAAGCATGAGCAGGGGAGAGGGGCAGAGGAAGAGGGAGAGAGAAGATCTTAAGCAGGCTCTGTGACCCTGAGCTGAAATTGAGAGTCAGATGCTTAACCAACTGAGCCACGAGGTGCCCCTGTTTTGTGTCTTTTGAAGCAGGCCTTCTGTCCTGAAGATGAATGGCTTTCTTCATCTTTAGTCATTGTGTCTGCTTTCCACACTCCTCTCTGCCATCAACCATCCTTCGGTATTGCTTTTCCAGGGCTTTTTCTATTTCTTCAAATTTCCCCATTCGGGGGGAAGAAACCTTCACTTCCTTTCAGTACCACATTTCTTAACAGTTATTGGCTTCTGTTTATTTCTACCACCCTCTTCAGTCCTCGCCGCCTGGCCCTTCCCCTCACCGGCCAGGGACCCAGGGGGAGAAATTTGCAATTTGTCTAAGCCAAAAGGAGAGTCGTCTTTTCATCGGAGGCTAGAGTAAGGGAATAAAGGAATTTCAGGTAAAGATTGGTCAGGAAAAAATGTTGGGGGAGTTTAGGGCAGTGGAGCCTTATTTTCTCTGTGAAACAGTGGGTGAGTTTATCTGCCAGGCCCCCAGGGGCTGAGAGATGGGAAAAAGTTCTGAAGGGGATGGGAGAGGTTGCTCACCAGGGAGAAGTGAAGGGATAGGTAAAGTCCTGCTGGAACTGGCGCCCCTGGCAAAGTGACAGGTTTCTCTCTGTCAGAGTGCCACTGGCATGGTATATGTGTGGATGAGGGAGAGCGTCGAATTCATCCCGAGCCAAGATTCGGCTCATGAGTGGAAGGACAAGGACACGGGTAAGGGAACTGATGCCTGTCAGGACACTGCGGAGCCAGCTGCCTCTGAGGCAGTGGTGGGAAGGAGCTGGAGCACTGACCACTGAGAAGTGTGGAGGGTGGGGAAAATGTGGGTGGTGACCCACAGGAGTTTAATTTTGAGGCATTCAGCGGGCTTGCTAGTCACCCAGTGAAGAGTCCTTTAGGGGCCGCTGTCGTCAAGGCTTATTAGGAGGAAGTGTCCGGCATTACTGAGTATCTGCTTTGTTGTCAGCAATTTGCCAAGCATAGGGACACACACATAGAGCAAGACACAATCCCCACCCTTAATGAGCTTGTAGCTTATAGGAAAAACACCTACACATTCAATAATGTTAAAAGGGCACTTGGTCAACACAGAAGTCCACATAAGGGGAACGGGACCAGAGAACTGAGTCCTTGGGAACACGTTGCCCTGAGGGGGGACCTAATTTTTTCCCCTCTGCTGCCTTGCCTCTCCCTTACGTGTTGTGAACTCCTTGGACAAGTCACTTGCACAGCGATCTATGTATACCAGGAACTCAGTGAATTTTTCTAGATTATTTCTAATGTCTCTTTGTCTCCAGGTGGAAGAAGCTGGGCAGGTGTTCCTGTTGATGAAAAAAGATTATCGAATCTCCCGAAATGTCCGCCTGGCTTGGTTCCTCAATCACCTGCATCAAACTGTGCAGGCTACACCTCAGGAGATGCTGGTGAGGCCCAGAAACCTACAGGATGGGAGGGGCTGGCTCAGAAGGATCTGCTTTTTTAAGGGGGTCCTAGAAACAGGATGGGAGACGAACTCTAAGGGGTCTCATTCTAGAAGGGGCAAGTGACTTTTCCCAGAAGATGATTCCACCTGGGAAATTTTAATTTTCCAAATAGGAAGAGTATATAGTTGGGTTGCAGGAGATAGAACCAGTGGTTTGCCATTTTGGATACAAGAGTTCAGGTCCTGGACGGGGGGGCCTGGGTAGCTCAGTCGGCTCAGGTCCTGATCTCACAGTTCATGAGTTTGAGTCCCATGTCGGGCTCTGTGCTGACAGCTCAGAGCCCGGAGCCTGCTTCGGATTCTGTGTCTCCCTCTCTCTGCCCTTCTGGTGCACACACTTTCTCTCTCTCTCTCAAAAATAAACATTTAAAAAAATTTTTTTTAAAAAGGAAGAAGTAGTTCAGGTCCAGGAAATAAAGGGGTGACTCTTCCCTGACCCTTTCCTTTTCTCTCTGTCCTAATTGTCAGCTCCAGTCTGAGCAGGAGTTGGAAGTCCTCAGCGTCCTGCCCCCTGGGTGGCAGCCAGATGAACCAGTGGTCCCAAGGCCATTCCTCCTTGTACCTTCTACCCGGGTTACCTTCCTGGCTTGGCAGTACCGATTTGTCATTGAGCTCGACCTTAGCCCGTCTACTGGCATTGTGGTAAGGGACTAGAGGGAGACAGTGGGAAGAAGGAATAAGGGATGGAGTAGGGGGTGAGGAGGAGAGGGAGAGGCCTCAGAGATGTGAAAAGTGATCCCAGTCTACCATCGTGGAAAGGAAACAGGCTTTTAAATGGTCAGTGTTTAAAGACGTCCCATTCCACACGTGGCGCTGTATTTGGGGGTGTGACCAACTTTAAGATGGGAGTTCCACTGATCCATGGAAGCTGCTTGTTTCTGCCCTCTGCTCAGGGCTGCTTTTGCTTACATTCGAGAGATCTTTCTCTGCATTGCCCTCAGGATGATTCCACAGGGGAGATCTTGTTTGATGAAGTTTTCCATGCGCTCTCCCGCTGCCTAGGCGGGCTGCTTCGACCCTTCCGAGTGCCCGGATCTTGCATCGACTTCCAGCCTGAGATCTACATAACTATCCAGGCCTACTCCTCAATCATTGGCCTGCAGGCCCACCAGGTATCGCATCCTTTCTCCAAGTTTGTACCCTCAGACCTCATTTCTGGTAGTCCATTGACTAAGTCCTTATTCTGTCTCTACTGTCTATTTTCAAAGTCCCCACCTGTTTACCAGTTGTCTCTGAGTCTGTCTCCTCTTGAGAAGGATCCATTCCTCAGCTCTTAAAGAGCCTTCTCGGGGCGCCTGGGTGGCTCAGTCGGTTAAGCGCCGACTTCAGCTCAGGTCACGATCTTGTGGTCTGTGAGTTCGAGCCCCGCATCGGGCTCTGGGCTGATGGCTCAGAGCCTGGAGCCTGCTTCCGGTTCTGTGTCTCCCTCTCTCTCTGCCCCTCCCCCGTTCATGCTCTGTCTCTCTCTGTCCCAAAAATAAATAAACGTTGAAAATAAATAAATAAATAAATAAATAAATAAATAAACGTTAAAAAAAATTTTTTTTTAAAAAGAGCTTTCTCACGAGCTTTAGGTCCGTTGGCCTTGATTGGACAAATGCCTCTCCCACTCCTTCTGCAAGGCTGTGGTTCTGGCCACTGGATGTCTGTTTCATGCTGCCACTACCACCCTCCTTTTAATTTGATTAGAGGGTTTGCTTATATCCTGACTCCTGGCACTACCTCTAGGAGATGATCTTTTAGAATAATTTTATGATTTTGAAATATAACAAATGCCCAGAACCATAATTTCTTCCAAGGACAGAGGAGGGTCATCTTCCCTGAGGGCCCTGTGAAGTGCCGGGTGTTATGCTGATCGTACAGATAATTACGAGCCTTATCCAACACCCAAACAGGCCATCACAAGACACACCTTTTGGAGAATGGCCAGGTCTGTTACTGGAATATCTGTTTTTGGCTTAGATAAGCAGTGGCCCAGTTTCCCCTCATCTGCTCTTAACCACCTTCAACTCACTGTTAGGGGCTTACCCTGAAACTGCCCCTAATGGCCATGTTGTCACCTTGGCTGTCAAACTCGCTTTGAGATAGGGATGCAAGGAACAGCTCCCGAGGACCCGAGATCTACAAGGCAGTCGGTGCGTGTCTGGATCCCAGCCCACTGCTGTGGATTAAAGTGCTCTCCTAGCACAGCTGTTAGGACTGTTGCTTGTGGCCTGCATCCCCAGACAGAGGCCGGGCTTCTCAGGCACTGATGGCCAAGACCGGGAAAGCATGAGTGTTAGGTAATCACTCCACACTTGGTTCATTTCGGCAAACACTTACTGAAGCCTGATCTATGCGAGGCCTGGGCTAGGTCCTGCAGTCACAGATGAATCAGGCACTGTCCCTTTCCTGATGGGAGGACTTGAGATTTTAGTAGGGGAGACAAATATTGAAGGAGGTAATTTCGGTCAAATGTGATAAAGACACTAGTTAAGTAATGACTCGAATGCCGTGGGAGCACCAAGAGGGAGCAGCCAGCCAAGCCCAGGGAAGACTTTTGGACAGAGAGGCATTTGAACTGAGTGTTGAAGGAAGGATTGAGGTTAGCCCTTCAAAGAAGGGAAGTGGGCTTTCCAGACAGAGGGGCCAGCAAAAGCAAAGCTGCAGAGCTGTGAGATTGTGCTCTTGGTCACAGGTGCTCTAGGGGACTACACATTATTCTGTTTGACACAGTAGTATTTGAATGTGGAGGTGGGGAGTGGTGGTAAAGAGGAGATGAGAGACAAGTAGAGTCAGAATTATGAGAGACCCTGAATGTCACGGCTAAGAACTATAGGAGAGTTTAGTGTGGTGATGATGACAAGCGCTGGATCTAGATTCACACTCCCTGTATTTGCTTGCTGTGTGCCCTTATGCAAATAACTTAATCTCTCTGTACATCTGTCTTTTCTTCAAAATGGGAAGATTAACAGTACCGATATTATGTGGCGAATGAGTTCATATATATCAAGCATTTAGAACAGTGCCTGCCCCATAGAAAACACGGGAAAGTTAGCTATTAAAACCGTTCATTGTTATTCAAACTGTTAAAAACGGAAGGTTTTTAAGTGGACAGTTATGAGATCAGATTTGTACACTGGGAAGATCGGGCTTGTTTGTAGCCAGGAAGGAAGATGGACTGGGGGGCAAATTCTGCATTGGGAAGAACAGGCCGAAGATTATTGCAGTACAGGAGGGGAGGGGAGCCCTGAACAAGGCCAACAGCTATGGAGAAGGAGCAGGCTTACTCAGTATAAGCCCTCAGGGCCACTTGTCAGCCCTGGGCTAGCTTCCTCACCATCTCTAAAGCTCCCCAAGATGTATTCTACTGTTCCTTAAAACAGAACAAAAAAAAGAGGCACCTGGGTGGCTCAGCTCGTTGAGTGTCCAACTCTTGATTTTGCTCAGGTCATGATCCCAGGGTCATGGGATTGAGCTCAGCATGGAGCCCACTCTGCTTGGGATTCTCTCCCTCTGCCCCACTCCCCCCACTCACACGCATGCGTGTGCGTGCGCGTGCTCTCTCTCTCAAATGACATTTAAAAAAATAAAAAACAGAACAAGTTAAATCACCTTTATAATGTATGTCCATTGAAGGAAACTTGAAAAATACATAAAATATAAAGAAAAACAAAGCTTACCCATAATACACCACCAAGAAATAACTACAATTAACATTTTATGGAATTTCCTTCTTGCCTTTGAGTACTTGTTTATCCTCCCTCACCACCACCATCCAAAGAGAGGCGAAGAAACTATCAGGCTGATTCCAGACACATAATTTTACATCCTGCTTTTTAAATCTATAATGTGGGCATTCTTCCTTGTCACTAAGTATTCTTTGAAAATATGATTTTTAATTGCTGCTTGGTTTGGTATTTCATCACAATTTATCATTATATATTTGGCCAAACCCTAGTGTAGGATTCTTGGGCTGACCCACTTTTCACATCTAAACAATATAGCTGTGAACATCTTTCTCACCTTATAACCCCAGTCCCTACTATTCCTCTGATTCCATTTTTCTTCTCTTAGGCCTGTGGACTTACAGAGTCCCCCTCTCCTGGCTGTGACCACCCATTTCCCCAGTTCCGAATAGGGAGTGAAGAAGTAGTTGTCACGCAGGAGGGCAGGGGTAGGGGAGTAGTGGGCCTGTGAAAAGGTCGTAGGAGTCTGAAAGGAGAGTTCCCAGGGGCCACCAGGCCTGTATGAAATTTCTAGGATGGGGGCACTTAATTTATGTTGAAAGGAGGAGGAAAGGAACCCCATGGAGAGAGAATGAAGGCATTAGGCAAGAGGTCCAAGATTAGTTGGAGAGATTAGCTTTTGCGAAACAGAAGAGGATGAGGAATCGTTTCTTCAGAGTTTCGAAAGAAGAACAAGGACACAGATAACAAACTTCGAGCAAATATAGTGGGTGTTTTCGGTGGTTGGAGAGTAGTACCCCCCTGGGGTTAAGGCAAGCAGGGAGTTCCTGCTGACTGGTTTCCTTTCTGTATGAAGAAGGGGGGGTAGGAGTTACCTGCTAAGGGGAAAAGGAAGGAAGGGACATTCACAGGGAAGATGATGCTGTACCTAAGAGAAAAAAGGTCCAGAGCTGCCTCTGTGTGCAGTGCTTCAAGATCAACAAGAATAAAAATGTATGAGTCGGAATGAGAAAGACTTTGCCAGGCTGAGGTGGGGCTGTCTGATGACCCAAGATGGAAGATCTTATGGCACCCCCATGTGGGAGCTTGGGGAAACCCAGTGTGCAGGACCGTAAGCAGAGGAAGGTTGTGAACCCAGATGAAGATAACTAACGGCCTGGTATCCCCGGTGGAGTAGATGATCTGACACGAGAAGAACTGGCTGTGGATTGAGTCACCCTGCTTGCGCGAGAAGTCAGGAGCACCTAGAGAGAGCTGTGGAGACACATAGGCAGACCAGAAGAGTACTTTCCAGTGTCCCCCTGACCTTCATGTCTTGGTCTTTCCCTTGTGCTTCTCAGGTGCTGGTACAGGGCTGCCTTTTGGACCCTTCCCAGCGGGAGGTGTTCCTGCAGCAGGTATATGAACAGCTCTGTCTCTTTGAGGACAAGGTGGCCACCATGCTGCAGCAGCAGTATGACCCTCAGAGTCAGGTATGTGGGAGAGAAAGTGGGTGGAGACCGCTTAGAAAGAGGAGCTCTTAAGGGACAGAGGTGAGAGAGGAAGGACAAGCCCCAGTACAGAGGGAAGAGAGTTCAGGGAAAGGGGCTAAGAGCCAGAGTGAGCCAAGGTTAGAAGGGCTGGTGAGTGCACGCAACAGGTTCCCTGCCGGAGGAGGAGGGCTCAGATACATTCCCAAGACACACACTCTTGCCGGGAGAAAACGTGAAGACCGTGTGCTGGTGTCTTTTTCAGTCCTAGATCTCCTCCCCCAGTGGATCTGAGAAGCTGATTGTGTGTGGCTTTGATCGCTACGATTTTGTTCAGTCAGGGATAAAGCTGCTTGAACTCACTAGAATGCACTTGGCTCATTCCTTTGGATATCCTAGAAGTAGCCAAGCAAATCGAGTGCTCTATGTCTGAAGACTTAATTCGATTGATGTATAAAATATTTCATAATTGTGATGGGAAAGGGGCCATAAAAGGTGGAGAAGCCTGCTCCAGTGTAATCTGGTGCTTCATCTGGTGTCCGACTCCTTGTCAGCATCTGAGCACATGCTAGGAGAGCAAGCACAGTCAGGACTTGGCTGCATGGCAAGGGGTTGAGGTCCTCACAGGATTAGGCCTGTCAGGCCTGGGCAGTGCTGGGCTGTAAATTCTGGCTTTGCTGTGGATGGGAGGGACGGTAATTCTCTCTGACCCATTCTGTCTCATCTGTAACTCGGGCCAGGCCGAAGACCAGTCCCCAGACTCGGGGGAGCCCCCTGGCCGGAAGGTGGGAGTCTCCATGGTGACAGCTGACCTTGGGTTGGTCAGTATGATTCGTCAGGGCATCTTGGCACTGCAGTTGCTCCCCTCAAACTCTAGTGCAGGTCAGTAGAAGGACCTTTGGTGGGGCTGGGGAAATAGGAGGGTACGGGAAGGGGGCATTAGCAGTATAGATACAGGTTCCAGGGGATCAGTGGGCCCCAGAGAAGAGGATCTGTCTCCTTGTGTGTGTGTTTGAGCATCTCTCTCAAGCACCCCCAGCTCTGACAACCATCCAGGACCCTAGTGGGAGGGAGTCGAGCTCCAAGGACATCACTTCGGAGACTGGGGTCCAGCACTCAGGAGGCAGAAGCAGGAGGGAAGGGAAGAGGGAAGGGTGTGGATCATAAAACACATCAGTCGGTAGACACTGAGGTCTGAAGGGCCCCATCAGTTGGATGCCCCCCTGTAGCTTTGATCTGGTCAGTGTCCCCAGATCTGTCTGATATTTCCTGCTCCAGGTATCATCGTGATCACAGATGGGGTGACCAGTGTCCCTGATGTTGCTGTCTGTGAGACATTGCTGAACCAGCTTCGCAGTGGCACCGTGGCTTGTTCCTTTGTGCAGGTGAGGACTTTCTAGAAAGGATGAGAGGGAAGTGTGGTATATCACAAAGTTGGATATACCTGGTTACTTTCTTACAGGGGATGATTTCCCACATAAAGCCAATAACGTAGTTGCTTGTGTGTCGGTGGGGGGAATAGACAGGTGTCCTGTCTAGAACAGGATAGATGGGGGCACCTGGGTGGCTCAGTCAGTTGAGCTGCCGACTTCGGCTCAGGTCACGATCTCGTGGTCCGTGAGTTCGAGCCCCGCATCGGGCTCAGTGCTGACAGCTCGGAGCCTGGAGCCTGTTTCGGATTCTGTGTCTCCCTCTCTCTGACCCTCCCCCGTTCATGCTGTCTCTCTCTGTCTCAAAAATAAATAAACGTTAAAAAAAAATTAAAAAAAAAAAAAGAACAGGATAGATGGCAGTGGTGGGAGAGGACTCTCATCTTTGTCCTCAGGGTGCGGGGAAACAGCATGTTATAGTAAAAAGAGTGCAGGTTTTGAAATTTGACAGCCATTTCCAGCCTCATCTCCCCCATTAGATGAGTGATTACCATTTTCATTGCAAGGATCAGAAAACCCAAAAACTAGCTTGAGCAAAGGAAGGAATAGGAATTTTCAGTGAACCACAGCCAGTTTGGATTGAAGGACTGTAGGGTGGGAGGCAAAGCACTCTGGGAAACAAGGCTGGAGGGTAGGCACTGGCCAGAACACGAAGAGCTGGTTCTGCTGTATTACGGCATTTCAGCATAACTCTGTGGGTGACGTGGGTAAATATAAGGAAAGCCACTAGTTGGGTTTATGTTTTATAAAGGTAACTCTTGCTGTTGCGTGAAATCCGGAGTGGAGGCCAGGAGGTTATTAATTGTGGTGATCAGTGTGAGAGAGGAGCAGGGCTTAAATTAGGGGGATAAAGGGTAAGAGACAAGGGGATAGAATTGAGAAAATGAAGAGGTGGAGTCAGCATGACTTGTGATTAGCAAGGTGTGAGGGGTGAGCAAGAAAGAGAGGTTAAAGATGTCTCTAAGTTTGTGACTCCAGTGGTGGCTGGGTAGCCAGCAGAGCAAACGAGGAGAAGCAGCTGGGGTGGAGTGAGGACAAGATGATGAGCCCAGGTTTGTGCATGTTGCATTTGAGGCGCTTGTGGATCCGTGGGATAGCAGTTGGAAGCATCACCTTCGGGGTTAGGCATACTTGGCCTGAATCCCGCCTCTGCTTATTAGCTGTGTGACATTGGGCACATCACTTGATTCTTGGTCGGATTCATTTGTAAGTGGAGATTATAATGGTGCCTACTTCAGTGGGTGCGACAATGCATTTAAAGTGCTCAGCAGAGGGGCGCCTGGGTGGCGCAGTCGGTTAAGCGTCCGACTTCAGCCAGGTCACGATCTCGCAGTCCGTGAGTTCGAGCCCCGCGTCAGGCTCTGGGCTGATGGCTCGGAGCCTGGAGCCTGTTTCTGATTCTGTGTCTCCCTCTCTCTCTGCCCCTCCCCCGTTCATGCTCTGTCTCTCTCTGTCCCAAAAATAAATAAAAAAAAAATAAATAAAAAAAAATAAAGTGCTCAGCAGAGTGCATAATTATGTAATAGATGGCTGCTATTCATAGCAGTTAGCAGTTGGAGATGCAGATCTGGTACTCAGGAGACAGCACTAGTTGAGAGAGTTAGAATTTGTCAGCCTACAGATGGTGATTGAGAAGAGAAGAGGGTCCCTGAAGAACCTTGGGGAATACTGGTGTTTAAAGGTCTTTTGTAAGAAGAGAACCCGGCAAAGAATGAAGGGAAATAATCAGACAAGAACCAGGAGATTCTCATGTCAAAGAAGTCAGAGTTTGGGGAGGAAAGAAGTAGTTAACAGTGTGAGATGGCAGCAGAAAGATCGTGTAAAATGAGGAATGAACAGTACCCTTTGGATTTGGTGATTAAGAGGTCACGGGGATCTTTTTCAGGTCATTTCAGTGAAGAGGTGGCCAGGGAAATGATTGCAGTGGATGGAAGAGTGTTAACACAGGGAATTTGGCTGCTCAGATCAAGTGGGGGAACAAGAGCGAGAACAGTAGCCAGAGAGAAGTGCAGGGTGGAAGAGACAGATGCTTGGTTCTGTTCTGTTTGGTTTTGTTTTTTTAAATGTTTATTTATCTTTGATAGAGAACATGAGTAAGAGCACGAGCGGGGAAGGGGCAGAGAGCGAGGGGGACAGAGGGTTCCAAGCGGGCTCCGTGCAGACAGCAGAGAGCCCGGTGCGGAGCTTGAACTCATGAACCGTGAGATCATGACCTGAGCCAAAGTCGGACGCTTAACTGACCGAGCCACCCAGGCGCCCCTGTTGTTTTGTTGTTTTAAGCTAGATACCAGCATGTTTCTGAGGAACCGTGAGGAAGCAGGGTTTGAAAATAAGGGAAAGAAAAGGAAACCTGATGGAGTAAAGTCTCTACATTGACAGGACGGTGTTGGCTCAAGAAGTAGATCAAAGGACTCTTTTGGAGTGGATAGAAGTGAAGATGTAGATAATTCTGCTAAGGGTCTCTGGTCTCTCCCTGAAGGAAAAGGGAAGGGTGAGTACTGTGAGGGAGGCCAGAGTTGGGAGAACAGGATTGAGGACAGCCCTGAAGGACTTGCTGGGTTGGGTGTCATATGTTCTGATGTGGTGTCAGCCTATACACCATTGCACTTCTCTCCATTTGGGACCCAGGTATAGAGGTTGTGATCCTAGTTGGGCTTTTAAGGGGGAAGAGGAGTAAAGTCAAGAGGGCCAGGGATAGACTTGGAAAGAGTAGAGGTTCGAGGGCTGGCAGTCTTAATGAGGTCAAAGAGCAGCAGGAGAAGGAGGATGGAAGGAATCCAAAGAGATAAAATTGTGTGTAATCAGTAGGATGTGGCAACTGAAATTGCAAAAATGAAGTGGTTCCAAGTGAAGCTAAGAGCCAGCATGTAGCCAGCAGGCAAGTGAGTGGAATAGAGTTAGTTTCTGGAGATGAGGGTTCAGGAACTCTGAGAGGCCAGGGATTTGAATGAACCTTCTAGAATAGGTGTGTCATCATTTTCTGAAGGGGCCAGCTAGTCAGTATTTTAAGCTTTGCTGGCCAAACGGATGTCGCAGCTACTCAGCTCTGCTCTTACCGTATTGAAGCAGTCATAGACAAGATGAATGGGAATGGCTGTGTTCCAATAAAACTTTATTTACAAAAATGGCTGATGTGCTAGATTTGGCACACAGGTTATGTATAGTTTGCCAATCTCTGATCTACAGGCTTCGGGTTCAAAATATGGCCCATGGACCAGCAGCATTGGCATCACCACAGAGCTTGTTAGGAATGGAAAATCTTAGGCCCTTCCCAGACCTACTGCACTTTAACAATATCCCCAGGTGTTTTGCACTTGATCTTAGCCAAAAGGCCGAGAAGCGATTCCCCAGGTGTTTTGTACCCTAAGGTTTGAGGAGCATTTTGTTAGAGACGCTGACGTCTCTCAGATGGTGACAGGAAGCCAATGAACCATTTCTCACAATCTTTAGTGAGTGGTGCAGTCTGGTGTTTGATGTTCTGAAAAAGGGCATGGCCAGATGGAATGGGCTTCAGACAGGAGCCCAGGGAAGGAAAGTTGCAGAGCAGTGGTCTTTCCTGGGAGAATGTTGACCCTCTTCCCGCTCTGTCATCTGGGAGATGGGCGCAGCCACCCAGCCCAGTCTCTTCCGCTTTTTTGTACTTCCTTCTCAGGTGCCTCTTTTGGTGCCTCTAATTCCTCATTTTCTCTAGGTGGGAGGAGTTTACTCTTATGACTGCAGTTTTGGCCACGTGCCCAATGTGGAATTGATGAAGTTCATCGCAATGGCCACGTTTGGTTCCTACCTGTCCACTTGTCCTGAGCCAGAACCAGGCAGCCTGGGTCTGACTGTCTACCACCGGGCATTTCTCCTCTACTCCTTCCTGCGCAGTGGGGAAGCCCTGAACCCTGAATATTACTGCGGTGAGGATCAGACTGGGGCAAGAGGGGGCTGGCAGGGGAGTGTAGCACGGACCCAGAGGTGATTCGGGAATGGTTTGAGAGTTCTGGTCCCTAGATAGATTGAGCGCGTGCCTGGGGCTGGCTGTTCTGACACTCTTCTCTCCCCGGGATTTCAGCGTAGCCCCTCCCCCTAGATCTCTGTAGGCTCACAGAGAACCACCTGCCTCTTGCACATCCTTGCTGGTCTTCTAGGCTCTCAGCACCGCTTATTTAACGAGCACCTGGTCTCCGCAAGCAGCAACCCTGCCTTGGCTCTGCGCCGGAAGAAGCACACTGAGAAGGAGGTGCCAGCCGACCTGGTCAGCACCGTGTCTGTACGGCTTCGAGAGGGCTACAGTGTTCGAGAAGTCACCCTGGCCAAAGGTAAGGGTCACTAGGTCCTGCCACATCATACAAGGGTCAGACCTGCTGGGCAAATCAGAAGCCACCTCGGTATCACACATGAGATTCTGCTTGTCATTTGAGACACATGGGTTCTGAGCTGCCTTCAGGGGTTAGTCTTCTTAGCATTTAGCTTCCCAGTTCCATCTCCTTTGCCAGAGAGAAGTCAGCTGAGGTTGGTGTGGTGTCCCGAACTTGGCTCTGTTTTCAGATCACTCCTGTAAAGTTCTGTTTGTGGCAGTTGGCAGGCCCTAGGCCTGAAATCTCTGGAACCATGCTTGGAACCTTTAGCCAGGCTAGAGTTCCATGAGGTAGGTGGGGGTTTCGGAAAGAACTCAGTCCCAGGCTGGAGTCCTGTCCCTTCTTCCCCTGAGTAGCCTCCTGCTTCCCCTGAAGGAGGGTCTCAGCTGGAGGTGAAGCTGGTGCTGCTGTGGAAACACAACATGCGCATTGAGTACGTGGCTGTGGCGCCCTGGCCCCTGGAGCCGGAGGGCCCTCGAGGAACACGGGTGGAAGTGACGATGGAAGGCGGCTATGACATTCTGCATGATGTGTCCTGTGCGCTAAGGCAACCCATTCGCTCACTATATCGTACCCATGTTATCCGGCGGTTCTGGAACACGTTGCAGAGGTGAGTGAGGTCACCACTCAGTGAACGATGCCGTTTGTTGTGTGGGAGGGACAGAGGTGTGAAACTGGGAGCTGGAGAGAGTGCCCCTGAGGACCAGGCTCGTGTCGAGGGTCCCAGGTGCCCCCCCGAGCTGCCTTCCTCCGTACCCGCCACAGTCAGATGTGACTCAGGGCCAGCCCTTGTTCTGCAGCATTAACCAGACGGACCAGATGCTAGCCCACCTTCAGTCCTTCTCTTCGGTCCCAGAACATTTCACGCTTCCTGACAGCACCAAGAGTGGGGTGCCACTCTTCTATATCCCTCCTGGCTCCACCACCCCGGTGAGTGGCCCTGATGCTCGGGATCCCTGCGTCATGCCCGCCCATGTTGGACTGGCACAGCTTCTGGAGCCCAGAACCACCTTCTCTTTCCTTCCCTCGTGTCTGAGGCACCTGGACCAGAATTCTAAGCTTTATCCTTGAGAGCAATTCTCCCTCCTTCCAAGTTCCTGGCAGAGAAGGGTCTGTAGAGAGAGGCTGTCCTCGACAGACCACGGGTGTCGTGTAGGTGGTGGCATCCCAGCTGACTGTGAGCCCCTTCGCCCCATCTCCATGTGACATACTCTGGCTTTCTCTGGCAACTCCATTTTCCACCAGTGCCAACCACCCTCAACTGTGCGCCTCCTGAAGACCATAGCTTCCTTTGTCCTGTGCTTATTTCACACTCAGCCCACAGTTGTCAGCCTTGAACCATGAGAGGGGGCTTATGCTGGCGTGTGGTGGCCTCATCCCGAGTTCCTCCCATCATTTAGCGGCATTCCTCTGAAGTCACTGACGGAAACGTGGCAGGCTCCATCCTTTGCCTGGATTTAGCTCTAAAGGGCTACACGGTCTGTTTCTGAGCTCATCCTAATCTGGCCTTCATACTAGAGGCCTCTGTTTTTCGCTTCTGTCTCAGGCTGGGCTCTAAGTTCCTTTGGCTGTAAACCACTGCCATCTCCGACCCCTGGGCCCCGTGGTCCTGTTCGCTGTTTGGAGGTTGTGCCCTCTTTGTCCACAAGTGCTTCTATAGGACAGGCCTTCCTGTCCCCAGGTGCTCTCCCTGCAGCACAGCGGATCTGACTCATCCCACGCCCAGTTCGCTGCCTACTGGAAGCCAGTGCTGTCCATGGATGCTAATTCGTGGCAGCGATGGCTGCACATGCATCGCCTAGTACTGATCCTGGAGCACGACACGTGGGTACCCTCCGCGGGCTGAGGGGACAGGGGGTGATGGGAAAGGGGAACAGCAGACGAGCCCTCACCAACCTTAGCCAAGGAAAAACGATGACCCTTTCCTGGTCTTCCTGCTCGTCCACCCCTACATCCTCAGATAGCACCCAGAAGAGAGAAGTAGCAATTTATCTGTTTTTTGTCCCCAAGCTTGGGGCTGTGAGATGTGACCTCTGTGCACCCGTCTTCCAGACCAATTCCCAAGCACTTGCACACTCCCGGCAGCAATGGGCGCTACAGCACCGTGCAGTGCAGGATCTCTCACTCCTCGCTGACCTCTCTGCTCCGGGACTGGAGCAGCTTCGTGCTGGTCGAGGGCTATTCCTATGTGAAGCTGCTCTCCAGGTGGGCAAAATGATGTCCCCTCACTCCTCCCCCTCCGCTGCATCCCATGTCTCTTCCTCTGACCCCAGACCTCCCCCCTCCTTCTCAACCCGCTTACTCCCAGTCTAGGGCTGCTCACTCACCCCTATTTTTCCTTAGTGCCCCAGACCAGCCCCCCTCCTCCTTCTACATGGTCCGCATCATTTCCAAGGCCCCATGCATGGTTCTTCGTCTGGGTTTTCCCATCGGCACACCAGCCCAGGCCCGGCACGAGGTAAGCTGGGCACTGCCTGACTCCCAGACCTAGGAGCCCTGTAGAGTGGACTAGCTCCTTCCCCACAAACTGCACAAGGCCAGGGCCAGTGGAGAAGGAGCCCCCAGGCCAAGGAATGCTTGGAGTAGAGAGCTGAATCACTTTATCTGGGGACCCCTTCTCCCAGATCTATAGGAGACGGGGTTAGGAGGATCTGATCACATTTCTTCCCAGATTGTGTCGGGTTTGCGGGAAGAGATCCTGCGGCTGCGTTTCCCCCACCGGGTGCAAAGCAAAGAGCCAACACCCAAGGTCAAACGAAAAGGGCTGGGGGGTGTTGGTGGGGGCAGCTCTCCCTCCAAGTCCCCCCCCATGCTGGGCCCGCAGCAGGCCCTGTCTGACCGGCCCTGCCTTGTGGTCCTGCATAAACCCCTGGACAAGCTACTCATCAGGTTGGTGTAGAGGCTGGGGCCCAGGCCGGGGCACGTGGGAGGGCTGGGGCGTAGCTGGGAATGAGCAGAGATCAAGCGATTGCCTCCATTGTCCAGGTATGAGAAGCTACCCCTGGACTACCGGGCACCCTTCTTACTGACGCTGGAGCCACCAGGGCCACTGCCGTTGGTGTCAGGCCGCTCAGCCTCCTCTAGCCTAGCGTCGCTGTCCCGCTACCTCTACCACCAGCGCTGGCTCTGGAGCATCCCATCGGGCCTGGTCCCCGCACTGCCACTCAGCGCCATCGCGCAGCTCCTCTCTGTCCTCACCGAGTATGTTACCCAAGCCTGGCCGGGCAGCTCAGGGCGGGGAGAGAGCAAGCATAGACTCTGGGTGGCCGCTGGCAGGAAGCCTGAGTCAGAGCCCGCCCATCTCTAAGCCTCTGAACCACTGCTGTTCTGCACAGGATTTAGCGCAGAGCAGCGCCTGCCACTGCCCTCCCCTGCCCCTCCCCCAGGTCTGTTCACTTTGGCCTGTGCAGCTAGAGCTGTTGCACCTGAGGCACCAGTAGTCTGAGCAGGGCTGTCAGCACACGGGTCTGCCTGGATGGCTGCCGGGAGGTGGGCATGGAAGTGGCATGGGGCGGGGGACGGACTCTGAGCATCTCTCTCCCATCTCATCCTGTCGCCGTCCCCACCTTTACGGGACTTCAGAGTCCGACTGTCAGAAGGGTTCCACTTTGCCTGCAGTGGGGAAGGAATCATCAACATGGTCCTGGAGCTTCCAATTCAGGTGTGTGCCATCCCTTGTGACACCTCCCCAACAAGGTCTGTCACTGGAGGGACACTTGCCTCTGAGCTGCATTGGGGCTACTGGAAACGGTGCCTCATGGGGACCCTGTGGTCAGAGGACCCAGAGCCTGAGGCCAGTCCCAGGACAATGTGGCAAGGGGCTAGAGTTCTGGGGGCCAGAGCTGGGCTGGGCCAAGTCTCTGGCTTGGCTGAGGTTTACCCAAGATCTCCCATTCTGCCCCCAGAATGAGCCCCTGGGGCAGGCTGCAGGCGAGGAGAGGCACACATGTGTTGTCCAGTACATCCTCTTCCCCCCACACTCTACCTCCACCAAAGACAGGTGAGACCCGGGTCTGCCTGGAGAGCTGCCTCTCTCCACATTCTCCCTTCTCCCTACTACCCCTGAAGTTCTGTCTTCTGGGCTGCAAGAGAGTCGGGGTAAGGGTGCTGTTTGTTGTTGTTGTTTGTTTGTTTGTTTGAAGTTTTTTGGGGGGAGGCGGGAGGGGCAGAGAGAGAGAGAATCCCAAGCAGGCTCCACACTGTCAGCGCAGAGCCCTATGTGGGGCTCGATCTCACAAACTGTGAGATCATGACCTGAGCCAAAATCAAGAGTCTGACGCTTAACTGAGCCACCCAGGCGCCCCATTAGACGTTTCCTCAGGCAGACACGGGCCCAGAGAGGCCACACGCAAGTTGTGTTCAACCTGTGTGCCTTCCGTGAACTGACCCCCTGCCATTCGGTTGTGGATCGGACTCTCCGCTCTGCCAGGCTCAGGACTCCTCCTCCTTTAGCTTCTCGACAGATGATGACAACGATGTGGAGGTGGAGGCCCTGGAAGGAGACTCAGAGCTCAACCTGGTCACTGAGGTGTGGGTAGAGCCACAGTATGGGCGAGTGGGGCCTGGCCCCGAGAGCTGGAAGCATCTGCGGGACCTGACATACTCTGAGATCCCTCGAGCTGTGAGTGACCTCTGAAGCACCCCCACACCTTACCGGGTTAGCTGCCGTCCCTCTGGAGTACCACAGCTAGCTGTGGGCTTCCTGGTCCCTCTGAATCTCTGTGTTCTGCATGTCTGTGACTGTGTGGGCTTCCTTGAGAGCTGGACACCAGAGTACTCTGGGCTAGGGCAGGCTGACCCCTGACCTCTGCTGTTTGTCCCCTAGCTCCACCCTCGGGACGCTGCCTGCATAGGCTCCATGCTGAGCTTTGAATACCTGATACAGCTGTGCCAGAGCAAGGAATGGAGTCCCCTGCCCCCAGAGCCGAGGATCTCTAATGGTCAGTGGGGAAGGGGCTCCTGGGATGGAACAGGAAAGTGTGTGGGGAGAAGGCAACCGAAACTGGGGAGTCCGGGTCTCACTGTGGCTATCGTCCTCCTTCCCTGCCTCCTAGGATTGGACCAGGGAGGAGATACCTGTGTCCACGAGATCCCTTTCCATTTTGACCTAATGGGACTGTTGCCTCAGTGTCAGCAGCTCCAGATGTTCTTCCTTCTGCTTTCCAGAGGTGGGTGAACTTCGTACTTACCCACACGTAGAGGGTCAGCATGCGTGGGAGCATTGGGGCCGGAGGAGGCTTGGAGGCCGCAGGAGGGCTGCCATGGTCAGGGCTGAGCCAGGGGGCTGGCCGGCAGGAGGCTCTTGGTGCTGAGCGAAGTGTATGTCGGGCAGAACCAGAGGGTGTCCCTCTCGCCGAGGGGCCCTGTCCCACCAACGACATGGTGCTGTGCCTGCTGCACAGCTGCCTGGGGCAGGAGCTGAGTGACCGGGAGATCCCACTGACCACTGCTGACCAGGCCACCTTCTTGAGTGAGGTGCTGCGGCGGACCTGCCACGGTCCAGGTGAGCTCCTGCCTCTTTCCCGAACAGCACGCTCTGGCCCAGCCCCATTTCCCCACCCCTCAGGGGGGCTTCTGTCTTTGGGTTTTGGTCTCCCCTCTCTTCACCTCAGAGCCCTGCCTCTCTGCCGGCCCTGCCCTCTTTCACCCACCTCTACCCCCATCGTAGGTCCGGAGGAGTCTCCCGTGGGGGGCCACGGGATCCTAAAGGATCAAGCAGTCAGCAGCGCCCAGGCCGCTGGAGACTCAGCGCTTCCTCCCCTGGTCAGCACTGATTTGTCTCCTTCAGCCCCTTTTCACACTGACCTCCTTCTATTACCACATATTCGTGCCCCCCCACCCCCGCTTTCTATCACCGGGGATACTGAATGCCTCCTGCCAGTGACAGGGTACTGAGTTCCTCTTTGCCCTGCATCTTGCACTCTATACCTAAGGCTGCGCTCCAGGGTGGAGGGAGGGAGCAGGGGTTGGGCGGTCCCTTACAGATTGTTCTGATTTTCTGTCTTAAAGGTTATAGGCCCTCCTGAGACTCTCAAGGCTCTCATCTCTACCCATTCCCCTCAGTGGCGCTGCTATGCAAGGCTTGTGACTCCCCAGCATGTGTTTCTGACTTTCCTCCCAGCTACCTTCGCAGGTACCACCCAATGGCCTTTATCACTGGCCTCAGATACAAACCCCTCTTCTCCCTCACCAGCCCACCAGGCAGCTCTAACTTATGTCTCTCTTTTCGTCTTCAGATGTCCAACATCTGGCTGCCTGTGGCCTGGAGGGACCCTCTCAAGAGGAGACAAAGCCTAAGTTTGGGGATGGGAGCGGGGCCCCCAGCCTGAAAGACCTGGGAGGAACTGGGGTGAGGGCTACAAAGGCCCAGGTTCCCACACTCAGCGTCACTCCAGCTGGAGGTAAGGCGGCTGACTCTGAAGTCAGTTAAGCAGGAGCAGGATTGGGAACAAATAGAAGGCTTGGAGACCATGTGACCCTCTTCCCACAGACACTGCCCAGATTCCAGGAGACCTAAGCCCACCTTTCCGTCGGGACTTACAGGCTTACGCCGCGCGTCAGGCTCCACAGACAGAGGGTGCAGATGGTCCCCGGACCCGGTGTCCTGTTTACGTCTATAGCTGTGCCCTGGAAGCACTGAGGGAGCAAATGGTTGGCCTGCAGCCCCCTCAGGCACCCCGAGACCTCATCTTCCGGTGAGTACCCTCAAGGTCCTCCCCCAACCGTGGCTGCCAGCCAAGGCTCATGACCATAGTCCAGGGCATGGACAGACAGGCTGACCATCAGTGGTCAGAACTCAGTTTCTTAGCCAGGTCCTGCCAGCCCCTTGCTCAGCTTCCTTCAGCAAATCAAGTGAACTTGCTGGGCCGTGAATATATTCAGTAGAGGTGTACCGACCCTCCAATGGAGTGTGGGTAGACGGTGAGTCAGAGATGTCACTAAGGAGAGCTGGCCAAGCTCTCTCTTTGCTCCCATTCCTAGGACTCAGTTCCTCGACCAGCCCTCCCCATCCTCAGTCTGGATGGAGCCCAGGCACAAGGAGGCAGCCAATCATTGTGCCTTGCTACAGGAGCACGCACAGCGATGCTACGTCCGTGGTGAGGAGGGGGCCGCCTGAGGGAGCCTCAGGAAGGAGTGGGGCTTCGCAGGATGACGGGGATGGGAACTGGAGAGGCCATTCCAGTCGTGGCCCCTTCCTCTTCCTCAGGACTGTTCCGGAGTTTGCAGCAAGCACAGAGCGTCACCTCACAGGACTTGCTGATAGCGGTAGATGCCTGCGAGGAGCTACTACAAGAAGTAGACATCACCCCTTTCCTGCTCGCACTGTGTGGCCACATTCGGGTTTTGCCTCAGGCACCCCCAAGCCCTGGGCCTCTTAGCCCTGGGCCTTTCAGCAGCAGCATCGAGGAGGGCCCCGAGCCTCGGGAACGAGCTGTCCTGGCTTCTGAGTCCAGGTTAGGATTGTCCCTTAGTGATGTGTCCGGGGTGCACAAAGGTCCTGTAAACAGAGACCTTCCCATCTGGGGGAATGGCCATGCACGATCGTGCCCACACACCAGGGAGGCAGTTGCTTCGTCGCTGGCTTCCTGCTCCCACCCATTTAGCATAGACCCGAGTCTCCTCCCCGTCTCTTCTGTTCTGGTGTGGAGTATTGAGCTGGGTTACGAGTAGGGAGTTGTCACTCGCCATCAGTGAAAGTAGAAGCTTATTCTGAGGATGCTCATACAATAGTAATACTCTCTGGAACTACCTGTGAGTTTCGCAGAGTGTTGCCCTCACTGCTGAGTCCCCAGCTCACCTCGGGCCCAGCAGGTCCCTGAAGGGAGAAAGGCAAGCAGGCAGACGGCTGTGTCTGGCACCTGCCATCCTGCCGTGCCTGCCGCATATTAGCATCGGGGAAGCAGCAGACACAGAGGGAGGAGTGTGCTGATGACACCCAGGTCTGCACTCCAGCCAGTTCCCTGTCTGGCGCCCTAGATCCCCCACCTTTCATGCCCCGAAATCAGTGTATCTTCTTCCCACCAGACCTTGCTTCTCCACCTGTTCTCCTTCAGTGGTGAGTGAGATCACCCTCCACCCAGTGGTCTAAGTCAGAAAACTGGGAGTCACCTGTACTCATTCCTCTGCGTCACAGCAATGTCCGGTTGTTAACAAACATGGAGGTTCGAGCCAAAATAGGTCGGCTTGTTCTCCTCGCCTCTTCCACTGCCCGTGCCATTGTGCTGAGCACGCTTGCTAGAGACAGGTGTGGGCTGCGCCTAGTAGGGAAGCAGCCTCCTCTAGGGCTCGCTGATTCTTAACACCTCCTTAACACACCCTTCACCCCCTCCCTGACCACTCAGCATAGAGACTGAGGACCTCAGCGAGCCTGAGTTTCAGAGCAGCCGTGTCCCTGGGATTCCAGACCCTAGCCTGGAGATCTCTCTGACAGACGTCTGCCAGCTCCGAGGAGAGGCACATGATGCCCTTCATAGCCTCATCCAGGTGGGACGCTTGGTGAGGGCAGAAGAGGGGTGGAGCCCTGCCTGCACCGGGCACAGTGTTCTCTCCTGGGGTGGGGGTATGTAGCTGTCTATTCTAAGGTAGGGGATAGTGTTCTGCTGAGGGCTGGCTGACATAACAGCCTCTTTCTAACCCCAAAACAGGAGAAGTTCCTGGAGATCAGTGGTCTCTACTTCCGCACAGTGCCCTCCAATCCCCACTACTTCTTCTATTGCCCTCCATCCAGCAGGCGAGAGGTGAGCGGCTTCCTCCCTTCCTCTCTCGTACCCCCGACCTGTAGCCCAGAGGCCCCACTGGGCCCACCCAGGTCCTCTTGATGCTTGGCTCCCTGGGGTCCAGATGTGGCTCTTGTCCTGTGTTGGATAAAGCTCTCTTTGTTTTGTTCAGGATGAGGGCCCCCGGGACACAGTAGACAGAAAAGTCAGTGACCTCGAGTTTTCGGAGGCTGAATTCCTAGGAGAAGAAGGTGTGTGGACAATGGATAGAGATGAGAAGGCTGCTTAAAGCCAGGATTCAGGGCCCTCCACTGCCAGCCTCTCCCATTAACCACACAACATGCATCCACGTCTAGGAGACACAGCCTGCTGTGTGGTCACTGAGAGTGACCCAGAACTAGAGGTGGAGTATCGTGAGAGCCGTGAACCAGACCTGGGGCCAGCTGGGCTCGACTCTGCCTCGCTGTCAGATGCGGACACTGTGAACCCTGATGAAGACTCCTTCAGTATCCTGGGGGGTGATTCGCCTACCGGGCCTGAGGGCCTGGTACATGACCTGCCACCTCTCTTCCTGCACCTCACGTGCTCTGTGCGGCTGCGTGGGCAGCACAGCTCAGTACCTGTGTGCAGCCTGCCCACCTGCCTGGGTGAGTTTGGGGTGCCCAAGGGAAGGCCACAGGTCCCAGTACAGCCTGCCTGCCTGTCTGTCTGTGGGTGGACGTAACTCATTAGCACTGAGAACTTGAAGTCTGTGCTTGTCCCCAGGCTCCAGCAACCCCTGACTCTCCCCCTCTCCCAGGCCAGGTCCTTTCCAGTCTGGAGGGCCCCCCCATTGGAGGCCGCGTGCCCCTGAGGGACCTCAGTATTACGCTGGACGTCTTTGTGCTGACATTGCCTCTGGAAGTGGAGCTTCCCCCAACCTCGGACCCTCAGCACCACCGGTGTGGCAGCAAGTCTCGTGGGGGGATCTGGGGCCTTGTTTGGGTAGGGGCCCTTTAAAGGAATCTAGAGGTGCTTGAGGGCTCTAGGACCCCTTAAAGAGTCCAAGAAAGGAGTGCTAAGGAAGCCCTAGGAGGAGAGTAGCTGCCGTGGCTGCTGATCTTTGACCTTCGCTCCCACTCTATTCAGGTCCACATCTGAAAGCAGTGCTTCCTTCCCACGATCCCCGGGGCAGCCATCATCTTTAAGGTCGGATGATGGCCTGGGGCCCCCAATGCCACCCCCAGAAGAAGACAGGTACTTCCCTTTGTCCCTCTCAGAGTCCCTCACTTCCTGTCAGTTTTGTTTTCTGGAAACCAACATCTAAACCTTTCTTCCACTTAGGCACCCTGGACTGTCCAATTTGGCCACACCCCACAGACTGGCTATTGAGACCACCATGAGTGAGGTGAGGGCCTTCCCTCCCCCAGCCTAACTGACAGCCCCTCAGCACTGTAACCGATACCCTCTCCCTCATATGAGTAAGCTAAGGCGCCCCTTTATTCTGGGATCAGAGTAGGGCTGCCCTCAATCTGTGAGGCAGAGTACCTTCTAGTCTGGGAGTGAGGTGATGTGCCAGGCAGCGAGGGAGGTGCCCTTGGCCACTCCCCTGATCTCTCTCTGACTGTAGATCCACTGGTTGCTGGAGGACGAGATGGTAGCGGCCCTCCGAAGAGGGGGCATCCCCCAGAGCCCTACCCTGCACCGTGCAGCTGCCCACATCCATAGCTCTCCTGGACGCTCCACCTGCCTTCGCCAGACCCTGCCACTGAGTTTTGTGTTTGGGCCAGAACGTTCCCTCACACAATTCAAGGAGGTATGCTGCCCTCAGAACACCCCCTGGTCATCCTGGGGCCCATTCTTCCCTGGACTCCAGATACGGAAGTAGACTGGCCTCCCTCCAGAACAGCCTCCTCACCACACTGTCCCTCACCCCATGCCTGGGAAGGGTGGGAAGAGACCCGGCTCCCCTCCTTGCCACTAGGCCTGTTGAACCTTAGGCAATTCGCTGAACCTCTGTATACCTCAGCAATGGGGATGCCGGTGTCTGCTTTACCAGATGATTGTGGGGGTCTGCTGAGGAAGCGGGGGGTTGGAGGGGGAGGGCGTGAATAGGGAGGGCTGCCCCTGCCTAAACTGTGACCTTGGCTCCTGCTCCCCAGGAGTTCCGCCGCCTTCACCTCCCTGGCCACATTCTTCTCGAGGATCCTGACAGTGGCTTCTTCTTTGTGGCAGTTGGCCAACAGCCAGGAGGGTCCCAAGGGGAGCTCCCTTCAGCAGCCTGGGCTTGGCACAGCCATGAGGACAAGGCCGAAGGCATCGAAGCGGAGGTGAGCCTTTCCTGGGATGACCTGGGAATGGAGGGGGTGGAGGTGGGTGTGTGGGGCCTGTATTCAGTCCTGACTTTCTGCCTAACCTTAGGCCCTGACAGCCAGCCCCCAAGCCCCTGGCTCCCCAGAGGGTTCTGATGGCACACCCCTCCTCAGCCTGCCACAGGGAGGTAAGAGAAGACTTGGGCAACAAAGTCTGGGGGCTAGGACCAGGGACTTGCAGATCCCTGGCCCTGCTTCCATTTTCAGAGGGTGGTCCTAAACAGGATCACTAGATGTTCCAGGATTTTCCTTCTCTTCCCAGGGAGACAGCCTGGGCCTAGCCGGGGGCTGAGCCTTATGTCCAGTCAGGGCAGTGTGGACTCTGACCACCTAGGTAAGCCAGGGCGATGGGCAGAGGGCTCTGAGCTGATAGGAAGCAGACTCAGGGCTGTGCAGCAGAAGGACTGGGCAGGGGGCATCAGAAAGGACTAACATGGAAGGGCCCATCAAGCCTGATATGCTCGGAGGCTCAGATGAGCCAAAGGACGGGGCTGAACTTCGGCACATTTGAAACAGGTTATGATGGTGGCAGCAGTGGCTCAGACAGCGAGGGCCCCAATGAGACCCTGGGGGAGAAGCCTCCCTTCACGTTGAGGACCCCACCTGGGCAGGCACCTCCACAGCCTTCACTCTCAGGCCTCCCTGGGCCCTGCCTGCCTGACTTCTGGCTCATCGTCCGCATACTACAGGATCGTGTAGAAGTGTATGCACATGCGCGGTAAGTAGGGTCCTGCGCCTGACTCAGGTTAGCTGCTTTCCCCTGGTCCCACAACATTCCTCTCCGATATCACTCAAAAGTAAAACTTGGGACTGAGGGTTTGTATTCTAAGGCTGGGGGGTCCTGACCACTTCCCACAGCCTATATATAGCAAAGCAGGTTACTCTTTGCTTTCCTAACAGAGGTAAAAAGCTGGTAGGATTTGGGCTCCTCGTCAAGCATTAAGAGCATCTACAGTTCAGAGCAGCTTCAGAAGTTGATATGGGAATAATAGGTAATATTTCACAAGTGCTTATTATGCAGCAGACAGTGTTCTAAGTGTCTACCTGGATCAGCTCCTTTCATCTATGAAATAGTCCTCGAAAGTATTATTCTCCTTATGGCATGGATGACAAAACTCAAGCACAGAGAAATTAAATACTTGCCTAAGGTCACAGTAAAGGGCAGAGCCAGAATTCACAGGTAGGCCTCTGGTTAAATATGGCTCTCATCACAGAGTGGAGGGGGTTTGAGAAGGGAAGGCCGCCATTCTGATCAAGATTGGAGAATGGAGAAGAGGTACACCGTGTGAAGGAAGCCTTGGGGTTGGTGTGCTGCCCACTGAAGGGCTGACAAAGCAAGCGTGGAGCCTATGCTGCCATAATTGCTACCGAGAATTCTGTTTCTCCTCTTTCCCAGCATTTGCTTCTCTTTGTCCAGTCCTACTCCCTTTTCGTGATTTCTCTTGGCCTCAGCTCTCAAGCTCCCCACCCCCACCCCAGAAGTGTGTCTGATCCATCCCTCCCCTCTAGGAGCCTGATTCGGGAGGATGGGGGACCAGGCACCGAGTGTCGCCACCTGCAGCAGCTCCTGGTGAGGCGAGTTGGGGAGATCTGCAGGGAGGTCAACCAGGTAAGGGACGGCTGGGGGCAGGGCTCTCTAGGCACGGGACACTGTTCAGATGAGGAAGGAGTTTCCAGGAACTTGACCTTCACAGGCTCTTGATCCATCTTGGCCATTTTCTTTGACACCTGGTTACCGGGGTACTGTTACTCCACGGACTCTACAAACTGGGAACGCTCCCTCACTCGTCCCAGTAACGCAGGTTACTCTCCCAGGCCCTGACTATGAGCTGTCCCTTCTAGTTGCACTGTGCCAGTGTTAGGGATATAATAGTGAACAGCACAGGAAAACTCTCTGGAGCTTGTGTCGAGTGGGGCAGAGAGGCATTGAACAACTGAATTGTATGAATTGTATCCATTACAATTGTGAAGAATTAGGAGAGCAAATGACAGTCTTGACCTTCTGAAGTGTCAGGGAAAGAGTTGATTTTTAAGCTGAGACCTGAAGGATGGGGAACACGTTCTGGCAAAGAAGAGGGATGAGTTCTAATGGGGGTTCAGAGCCCAGTGACTATGGGGCACATCTCTGACCCCCCCCACCCCGACCCCCACCCCAGTGATTACTGATGCTTTGCTGACCACTGACCCCCAGTAATAACAGGCATCCGCTCTGGCCTTTGATCATCCCTGACCACCACCACCAATTTATGAGAAATATTTCAGTTCCCTCATACCTTGCTCCTTCTCCCAGCGACTGCTTCTGCAGGACCTCCATGACAGTCACGTGTGTAACTCTCTTCTGGTGGCCGAGAGTGAAGAAGATCTATGGCGCAGTGAGACCCCCTTCCACTCCCGTCAGCGGGCACCACTGCCCAGCGATGGTGAGACCCCACCCAGGAGCCTCCCTCACGGGCTGCTGCCCTCTCTGTATCCATTCTTGGGTGAAAAGACAAGGGCGGAGGCACCGTGACCTGGTCACCAGTGCCAGGAGAGCAGGGAGGATAGGACAGAAAAGGATTGCTGAGTTGGGCTCTTGAAGAGTTCCTCTGTGTTGTCAGTGAAAGTAGTTTCAGCAGGGAGGTGGGACTAGGAACCAGAGAAACAGAAGCGAAGATAATTATACAGCCGGAGCAGAGAATAGCTACTCATTCAAGTGGTGGAGACTAGAGGAAGATGGGAGGCAACGGAGGAACTTGATAGTGAGGTAGAGACTCGCACATTTATGTTCCACAGGGAAAGAGCCAGTAGAGAAGGAAAGGTTGAAGAATACAGGAGAAAAGGGACTGTGGAAGGGGCACCGGCTGTGACCTGTCTTCCTGAGGGCGTGCCTCTGCCTGGCCCCACCTTCTTTTCCAAAATGTCCGTCTTTCCCCTTTGGGTAACAGACAGGGCCGAAGAATGGAGTGAAGGAGTGTGGACTTATAGGCCAAGTCACAGGGGGGAGAAGGGCAGAGGGGAGGAGCCTAAGGCCCAGTAGGAGGATGTGTCTTCCAGTTGGCTGTCCCCCCAGACAGGCAGGTACGAGATCCCTTTGGGATTCCTCAGATTTCTGGTCATGGTTGGGAAACATGGTAATTCTCGAGATGCTAATTGAAGTCTTGACACTTCTGCGGTCTTCTCTTACTCCTGATGACCTCTCACCCCAGCTCAGAGGGGAAAGCCACATCATGGCATTCCTTTGCAGTTCTCCCTTCTGGTTTAAAAGTAAAATCAGACCGCTTCTTAATTTTAACATTCTCCACAAGTCTGTGGGCAAATGTCCCTAACAGTCCTGGACATTGCATCTCTCTGCACATCCTGAGATGTGCTCCATATCAAAGCAGAAGTCCCCTAATTAGCGGACTTCCCAGGGAGTTGATGGCATCTTCTACAAATTGAGCATGAGCCAGGACAGCCAAGTACTTTTGCTTCAAAATGACTTCTAGCAGCCTGAGATGTAAGACCAGTTGGAGCCCAGAGATGGCTGCTCCTCGTTATAGTCTCTCCGTGTGGTTTTGCCAAAGGTCTTAGCAACCAGCATTCCATTTCAAACTCTGCAGCCCCCTGTGTGGCCCGTACACCGCTCACACCCGGCAGCAGCTTCTCTGAGAAACCAAATCGCCACCTTGGCCCTACTGGGAGGTTCCGCATCAACCTGGGAACCTGGCAGGGGTCCGACGAGGCACTGGACCGTGTGCTTGGGCTCTTGCATTGTGTCCTACCGCCCTAGGGGTTTCCTGGGATAGCTGTCCTCCAGAGCATTTTCCCTGACTCTGCTGTGAGCGTGTGTCAGCACTCACATCCTCTCCGTTCTAACGGGGTTCTTGTTGCCACTCCCTGTGAGCACACAGATGGATTATAACATGTTCTAGTATAACACAGTCAGAGTGTCTTGGCATTATCTTTGGGATTTTCCTGTGCTCTGCCTTACCTGACGCCTCTTCTTAGCTCCTTCTCCACACCTCCCGAGAGCCTCTGTGCTGTCACCTGGCTTCCCAAGAGCATGGTCCTGCCTTGTTGCCCAGAATGACCGTCTTGCCCCTGCGTGCTAACAGACAGGGCCAAGGAGTCCTGGGGAGTGAGGACAAGTAGGCAGTTCATTAGTGTGAAGTAGCAAGGGCAGAGAGCCGTGTCCCGCTTCTGATCCAGTGTCTCCCTTCTCCCCAGATTACGCTGCTGACGAGAGTTGTACACCCCGAGGGTACCTAGCAGCCACCATGCAGTTTGTCCCTGGCCATTTCTCCTGTGACGTTGTGTGGAAAACCGTGATTCGAGTCCATTCGCGCCTGAAAATGGGGCCCAGCATGGGGGTCTCTCGGGGTGCGTGATGGGCATGAGAGGGCAGGTGGAGTGGGAGGGAATGTGGAGAGGGGAGCGTCCTGAGCCCCTGTTACTCGCACAGCCATCCAGGCCCTGCGCTCTGTGCTCAATGCCTTCTCTGTGGTGAACCGGAAGAATATGTTTGTCTATCAGGAACGAGCAACGAAGGCTGTGTACTACCTGAGGTATGTGGGTCCTGGGAAGACAGGGCAAAGCATGGATCAAGGACGGAGGCAGAGGAGGTATGTCCAAAGACTCTGCCTCTCTTTTCCAGACTCCTGGAGACGTCCTGCAGTGAGCGGCCTTGGGAAGGTGATGCCCTGCCCCCCTCCCTAGCTCTGTCCCGAAGCCAGGAGCCCATCTACTCTGAGGAAGCCTCGGCATGTATCACCCCCATATCCTGGTGCCCTGTGCTCCCCTCATACTCTACCCCCTGGAGCCGGGCCCTGACCAAGTTTCCCTGCAGGGTCCTCGTTCTCCCCTGGACATGGCTTCTAGCCGCGGTTCAGATGCTGCTCGTCCTGTGGGCCAGGTGGACAGGCATATCCAGCTGCTCGTGCATGGCGTAGGACAGGCAGGTACGCACTGTGAGGAGGGGGCAGGAGTGTAACCAGATGAGGTTCCGGAATTCTCCGAGACTTCCTTTGGTACCTTCCCACTCTAGCTCATGCCGTGCTCTGGGTTTCCCTCATGCCAGAGCTGGGTGGGACAGACAGACTCCGGTGATGTTTAGAGAGTAGGCCCTGTAGCTGAATGAAATGCAGCTTGGGGAAGAGAAACCGTTAAAGGTGATATCAGGTATCTAGCTAGCCTGGGTGACTATGTGTAGATGGTGTTCTATTGATAGGTCTGGGGCGAAGGTGATGGGTTCGGTTTGGGATATGTTGAGCATGGGGTATCCAGTAGGTGACTGGGTGTTCCAGCTGATATTTATAGCTGGTTTCACGTGTACCAGGTCTTGGGCTAAGACTGTTACATATGAGGTAGATGTTATTATTTCTCCCATCTTATGAATGAGGACACTGAGGCTTTGAGAGGTGAGACTCACTTGTCCACAGTTACACAGTAAACTAGAACTTGGCAGCGCTAGAAACTAGTGCTGGCTGCCTCCAGTGTGTGGGGGAATGTTCAAGGCTGGGGTTTAAGGGCCGTACTGGGGGTTGCTGGATCCTCGGTCAATGTCTCCACCTTACCATGGCTGTGTCAAGGTCCCGAGATTACAGATGAGCTAGTACGGGTTCTGCGTCGGCGCCTGGACGAGGCCACACTGGATGTCATCACAGTCATGCTGGTTCGGAACTGCAAGCTGACACCGGCTGACGTGGAGGTCAGCTCCCTCCCAGCCTCCAACATCCCTCCAAGGCTCGGGTATAGGGACCATCTCCGCTGTACCCTCTCCGTGCAGCTCTGACTCCCCTTCCCACTCTGCAGTTCATCCAGCCCCCCGGAAGTCTCCCCTCAGAAGTGCTGCATCTGGCCCTGCCTGCCTCCTGCAGACCCTGGCTTCCTGCCCTGGCCTGGTACCTGCGGCAGAACTTGCTCATCTTCCTGCACTCTCCCAAGTACACGGACAGCAACAGCCGGAACCACTTCCAGGTGAGGTTTCAGTCCCTCCCGTGCACAGATGCCCCCACTCACCCCCTTGCCGTTGTAACCGTTTTCTACAGGTGTCATGTGCTTACCTTTGCCCGTGGACCTGTATACACCCATGCCTCCCCCACCCCCTGCACCTTTATTGTCTTCCTGTGCTCCTGGGTGTGCCTGTCTGCCATCCCCCACTGTGGACACCACCCCCTGATGGCTTCTGTCCATCCGCTTAGTCTTAGTGCTCTATGCTTGTCTCCCCAGCACCCGCTCCCACCGCAGGGCGGCCTCCCCGACTTGGACATCTACTTATATAACAAGCCTGGCGGACAGGGCACCGGGGGCAAAGGTACGAGGCAGGCCTGTGCCACTGCTGACTGTGGGAAAGCCTTTCTTGTCTTGTGGCTGACAGGGCCTTTTCCAGCCTTGCAGCTCAGGGCAATCCAGAGGGGGCGACAGGATGTCTGGAGGTCTCAGACCTGAGCCTTCCTGTGGATTTCTACCCAGGGGTTGCCTGCATCACTCTAGCCTTCGTGGATGAAGGGGGGAACCCCATCTCACTGGCATCATGGCCCCCCTCCTCTCCGGGGCCCCTAGACCCACTGCAAGAGGAGGAATTTGAGCAGCTGACCCAGGTCACCCGCTGCCCGATCGTGCCAGACAGTTCTTCAGGTGGGGCAGCTTGGTCAGAGGAGGGGGTGTATAGTTAATGCTCTGGGAACAAGAGGCACCACCAGGTCACCTCCATTCTTTCCTTCAGCTCAGAATGGGGCCCCACGGCTTCGACTGGATGTGTGGGAGAAGGGGAACATCAGTATCGTACAGCTAGAGGAGAAGCTCCGAGGAGCAGCTCGCCAGGCCCTGGCTGATGGCATTATGGAGCTGCGGCTGCTGCCAGCCTCGCTGTGTACAGAGGACACATCTCCAGGTACGTGGGGTCCAGAGAACACCCCAGGCCCTGGGAAGACAGTGGTAGCTGGTGAGATTGCAAAGATGGGGGTCCAGGAAGGCATCACAGAGGCTCCCTCCAAAATACAGATTCACGGTTGTCCTTTATCTTCCCTGCATCAGCAAGGTGACACGCCAGCAAAATGCACACATGCAGTTGGTCACCCACTTAGAGAGGGATATCTGCTCACAAACGTGTGGCTATCAGTTGCGCATACTGTCATTCACTAACACGTAGAGTAAGGGACAAGTCACTCTCATACCTGTCTTGGGGCTAGGTTGTCGGAAATAGGGATTGACCGTCAGTGACAGGCTTCTGTAATGTCTGATGTCCGCAGGAAGTCTCAGGAGCGGGTCGTTGGAAACCAAGAGCCCTGCGGGCCGAGCTAGCACCTTTCCCCCTGGCCCTGGCACTGGCCCTGGGGAGCCTGTGACTCCCCCCAGCAAGGCTGGCCGGCGTAGCTTCTGGGATATGCTGGTAATGGGAGGATGGGAAGAAGTGGTGAAGTTGGCATCTACCTTCTTGCCTGCTTCCTAGCCCCCCTACCTTCCCCTGCAGACCTCGCCCAAGATCACCTGTCATATAAACGATCCTGTCATTAGGGGTTTGCAGAATGTGGCAGGTTCTCTCTGACGTAGAGAGCCTCAGCTTATCAAGTGCCTTCGCTTCCCTTTTTCTTACGGGGCCCTCACAGCAGCCTGCAGGATAAGTAGGGCTTTTCCCAACGTGGGTGCCGAAGCTCAGGAAAGCTGAGTAGTCTGCCCAAAGCTCCTTAGTGAGCCTGCAGCAACGCCAGGGCCTGCACCAAGCCCTCCAGGCTCTTGTTACTTTTCCACGATGCCCCCATCCTTCATGCCATCCCCCTTCCCGACGGCTCTTCCTCATTCACTGCCTTGCCCCCAGAGTAAAACAGAATGTGGGGACTTGGGTTCCCCCAAAACAACGGATGACATTGTCCTGGATCGGCCAGAAGACACCCGGGGCCGGAGGCGTCACAAAACTGAAAGTGTTCGGACTCCGGGTGGAACTGAGCGGACACCGGGCCCAGATTCTGGAGCCCAGAGACAAAGGTGTGTGTGTGTTGTGGTGTCCTGTTGTGTCATGGGAGGGTGTGAAGTCACAGGTGAGTATCGAGTTTGTGTAAACACACTCGTGTGACATATGGATGTGAGGGTCTCAGTCCTACTGTGTTTTCAGACGCCGGACCACACAGCTAGAAGAGGGCGAGGTGGGGACCCTGCAGCCTGTGTTTGCTCGTGTGACTCAGCGCTGGATGGAGTTTATGGTTCAGATCGGTGAGACCCTAGGCCCCCCTCCCCTGTACTCAACCCCATGGCCTGGTCCCCATCCTGCAGCCCCATCATGACTTCTCTGCGCTGGTTCCAGGTTGTGCCTCAGTGTCCAGAAGCTCCACCCACATGGTGTCCCGATTCCTCCTTCCATCTGTCCTTTCTGAGTTCACTGCTCTTGTTACCTCCATGGCTGGAGACACCAGCGTCCGTGTCTTTGAGCAGCATTTGTGAGTTTGGGGTCTCATGGAGGCTGAGCTAGGGCAGGTGGGGGCTAGGCCTGGGAGGTGGTGGCCAGAGAATAGGGCCACGGGTGGTCTGCTTTCTGTCCCTCCCTCCAGGGGTTCAGAGCCTGAGATCTTCAGTCCTTGCTCCCTTGGACAACTGGGCCCAACCCCACGCCCAGCAGCTGAGAGACATCTGCTGCTTCTGGGCAGGAACTTCTTGCAGTGGAGAAGACCAACCCAGCAGGGTGAGGGCATGGCCTAGTGGGGGTGAGTTCAGATAGCTGTGGGGGCAGGGTGGGCTCAAGGGGATCTGCCTCCAGACCCCTATCGAGCCGCTCCCCCCTCTAGCCGCCAAGGCCATGCAGCGCTTCGAGCCAGGAGGTGATGGGAGCTCCGGGCGAAGTGCTCCCCGGCAGAGGTTCCTGCTGTTGGAGGTCGTGGACAAGAAGGTAGATGTGGGGCCAGCGGCTAGGTCTGAGAAGGGGTTCGGTGATCTCCCTGACCCTGACCCCTGACTTCCAGCTGCAGCTGCTGACCTACAACTGGGCTCCAGACCTGGGAGCAGCATTGGGCCGAGCGCTGGTTCGCCTCGTGCAGTGGCAGAACTCACGTGCCCATCTCATCTTCTGCCTCCTCAGCCAGAAGCTTGGGCTCTTCCATCATTACGGCCAGTTGGACTTCCCAGTGCGGGATGAAAAGGTGCCCGTTGCTTGGGCCCCCTCCTCTAGTTCTGGTTCCTGAGGGATTAGTTCAAGGAAGTGCCAGTCCGAGAGCAGGGGAGAGGGGACAGACTGAGGGCAGAGGTAGTGGGGAGGGTGAGTCTGAGAAAGGAGGCCATGGGGTGGGTGAGAGGATCTGAGGGCAAAGGCCGTGAACCCATTGTGACACTCTGTCTCTCTCAGGAGCCAAACCCATTTCTGCTGCCAACCATGGAAGCAGAGACCCTCATCCGGAGTGCAAGCCCCCCTCTGAGCCGTGAACAGGGCCGGCTGAGTGCATCCTCTCGGGGTGGGGGCCCCCTTCCCCTGGACACATTCCCCTTCGATGAGGCCTTGCGGGATATCACAGCTGCCCGCCCCAGCTCCTCACTCGGTCCTGTGCCCAGACCTCCTGATCCCGTCACCTACCATGGACAACAGTTCCTGGAGATCAAGATGGCCGAGCGCAGAGGTGAGGGCACTGGGCCGGGCAGAATGTGGGAGAGAGAGGGCTGACAGCTCCCGGGCCGTTACCAATGCCTGCAACCCCCAGAGCTGGAGCGCCAGATGAAGATGGAGAACCTGTTCGTGACCTGGCAGCAGCGTTCTGCCCCTGCCAGCATGCCCATCAGTGTGAGTGGCCCGAGCCTGTGCCCTCCGTGAGCATCCTGTGACCCTCTCCTGGCCACCGTTCTGGTATTCACCGCCCCATGTCCCCAGGCTGCGGAGCTGGAGACCCTGAAGCAGTCTTCCCGCCTGGTGCATTACTGTGCGACAGCCCTGCTCTTCGACCCGGCTGCCTGGCTGCACGGGCCCCCAGAGACCTCTGGGCCCCCCGAGGGCCAGGTGAGGCTGGGGACTCCTGGGCTTCTCCCACGGGACCTCCGTTTACCTGCAGTGCCCTCCATTCCTCCCCCACTGTGGTGTGTTTGACGGCGGCTAGAGCCTCCCTTAATCTCCACTCCCACAGCGGCGCCATCGCCCCGAGTCAGGCTCCGGGAGCCGCGAGGCCCCCGCAGGCTGCGAGCCCTCAGATGTGCCTCCGCCAGGTGCCCGTGAGGAGCCTTGGCTGAAGGAGCTGAGCTTGGCTTTCCTGCAGCAGTACGTGCAGTATCTGCAGAGCATGGGCTTTGTGCTGGTGCCGCTGCGGCCCCCCTCACCCGCCCGCAGGTGAGCCCGTCT